GTGGACATGCCCCAAGATGTTCTGGGCTGCACGCGTGCGACACTGAAGTCATCAACGCGCCGTTCAACGTCCGTGGCATGCACACCCAAAAGCCCAATGACGAACTGAGACTTAATTCCAAGTCTCCGACACCAACCGGGATCCAGGATGAGACTGCTCGTCGCAGCCGCTGGAGGCCTTCCCCGACGCGCTGCACCTGTCGCAACAAAGGATGACCTCCCTCCTGCCTCGGGGGAGGGGGAGGGGTGTCGCACGTGCTGCCGGCCAAAAAGGACGCTCAGTGGGGCAGTCACCAGGAGTACGGGCGCGACGCCACTCACCGGACAAGCTGGCGCGTACAAAGACATCTGGTGGCGTGACGACTTGGCAGGCTTGCCCGAGCGCCCGGCAGTCGGTCGTAGATCAGGCAGGCGTCGGGGAGTTGAGCTCGCCGGGGGGCAAGCCTTTGTACGGCCCGGAAGCGGCGCTACTGGTCTGCAGGTGCACTGAGTGCTGCCAGATTGGCCGTCTGGTCGAATGGAGATCGCGTTATGGCTTGATGTGGGGCACCTGATGAAGGCCGTGAGCGCTGCGCGAAAAGAGGCGATCAGAGCAGCGATAAGCACTATGTTTAGTTACGATGTCGGCGCTTGCATTATCGACTTTTCTCGCTTAGTAACATTACCAACGTTTTTTGTGGGCATCAGCATCTGTGACACATATCAATCTGCGCCGTGAGTGTGACAAGGACGGTCTTTTTGTGACTGGTGTGACAAGTCGGTCTTTGTCTTCTAAGCTTGATCCAAACGATGAAAGTTTTCAAACGATGCTGCTAATAAACAGAATGAAGCTTATGATGATCACTTAAAGGGAGTGTCTCTCACTTGAGGATACTGTAGCAAGCATCAGATAAGATGAGACAAGCTCACTTAGATGACTACTGGTATATTTTAAGCAGAAACACTGCTTCGGACAACATGTTATCTGTTGAGTAAATACGCTGCTCGATACGTCATTGTTTGATTGCGTTATTGTACCTTACACAATATTGACTGAGAGCCAATTGACGGTCGTCAAATCTGGAAATTAACGTGTGCTGAATGCCCACGAACACCAGACATGAACGACTCGACCATTATATTTGTATCGGTCTTCATCATGGCATGACCCGTCGAACGGCAGGAATTGAACGGCGTTATTATGAAGTCATGAATGCCAAGGTGACCTTAAAACACTTTCCCCGAAATAGTCTCCCCATTTTCGCGGGCGTAGAGCTCAGAAACTAGCGGGTCTAGGCCTTAGGTAGGGCAGGGCTCTGGATTGTACCGACAGGTTTTCGAGACGGCTATTTCAGTTCAAAACCCCATACATATGCGAAACGCTCCCGTTATGGGTTATTCAAGGTATTGCTGAAATTTAATGATGCATGTCTGACTGAAAACCTGCTTCCGTAAATATTCCTTTAGCGCGAGTTTTAGGGCGTGATCATTTGTACTTGCACAGCGATACTACATGTCGTGCATGTCATTAAAGCACGCTCTGATCTCACCACGTGGATGTCATCGCAGACTGTGTGATTATACACCATTAGGTGAGGCAGCAAATATTTCGCTTGATTCCTGGTTTCAAAGGTTCCTTTTAAGGGAATGCCCCACACTTGAGAATGTTGAGGCAAGCATCAGATAGGCATGATGGACAAAGATCACTTGTAACAATCAGTTGCTTCAAGTGCAAAATACTGCTTTGGACAGCACAAATCCACTATTCAGCAAAAATGTTCCTCAATACGCTATCGTTTGATTACGCCACGGAGTGCTGCCTGAACGAACGAGCGAATGAACGAATGATCGAAGGTATGACTTGGGAGTCCCTGCCAAACTGACCGTGACAGAACTGCCACTATAGCGGACGGGTTCACTCACTTGTAGAACTTCAACTTGCCGCAAGGTGTCTCGTAAATCTGTGCTGCGTGGTGCACCCGACGATCGTTATGCGCCGATGTTTTGGCCCTTTGTCGTGGTCTTCTTGCATATTGGGATGTGATTTTATTTGTTTTATTGGCATTCGCATCCCCGGCCTCCCTTATATTCACTTTCTCATTTCACCCCAAATCCTCGCGACGTCCCGCTTGTCTGGGCAGGCTGCAGAAACATACGAATGTGGAATATTTCCTTCAAATGATGTGGTGCTTAATACCGATTGCATTGGCTGTACTCAATATTCCGAGCTGCGCTCACCCTTGAAAGTGACTGGGTTCAGAAAGGTGTAGCAAAATATTGTACTTTAAAAATATGAGACATGAATCCAGAAAAAACCTCAATCTACGCAGATAATGCCGATAACAGATGTCAAAAGTATAAAGAATCCAAGCTCCCGTATACAGGTCAACGTCAAAGGCCGTAACAAACAATGCAGGCGGCTAAGCGGGAAGTTTATAAAGTTCGACGCAGAGTATTAGATAAGAACATCACTTACTGCGTATGAGCCACTACGGACATTGCCTGAGCCTAAGGAACATGGAAAGCCTAAAATGTTGTTTAGGGCAGGTTTCATGATGAGGTTTGTGCGTCCAGCCTAAGGATTCGTCAGGGATTATGCTAATTTGTGTGTTTCTAACACAAAAAACAATGACCTGGGTCATCTTAGGTCAAATGATGATGATGATGATCATCATCATCACCACCATCATTATCATCCTGATCATACCTAATATGATCTCAAAGGTCATGGAACATGTCTGCTGCGGTGCCTGTCATGAATCAATTCGGAATGAGCACCAGAAACTACAGCTCTCGAGTGAAAAAGCGGATTAGATTAATCTTGTTCTGGCATCCGCACCTGTCCCTGAGTCAATGGTATTGGTTGCGATTTTATATTCAATTATTTCATTGCTTTTGCCAAGAAACTATCTCAGATATGTACGGCTTTCTTGAGCACTCAGTTGTTGCATCACGTTGAACGAATCCCTAGAAATGCCCTTTGCTGACAACCATGGTCTGAATCGGACCTGCCATAGGTCAGCGACCTATCAAGGCACGTTTAATTTTTACATCAAAAGGCCCGCGCTGCTCGGAAATCCTTTTGGAAAAACCTTGGGACTTTTCGGGGAGTCTGTTTGACCCCCCATCTGAGCGCATGTTGAATAACGCAGCCCCCCCCCCCCCCCCCCGTTCGGCGCTGGAGCCCCTGACTGATCCAGGGCCCTTCCAACGCCGCATTGTGGACTCTCATCGTAAGGTCTCGTATCTTCTTTCATTGTCAGAGAGCCCCAACCAGCGCAGCAGGCGCTCTGGCACCCGGGGCTCCTTCCCTGTCCATGGTCAGAAAATCTTCCTCTGGCCGATTTGGTGCACCTTGTCGACACAGGACACCCTATCAAGCACTGTGGGCCACTGACAAGACACCGGGTCCCTCATTGTTTCAGGGGCCCAACCAACGCAAATTGCTGACCCCGGTCATTTCTATGCCTTCCATGTCCAGATGGGCAAGGAGCCGACGGCTCGGTGTTGGTGGTCTCTGCCCGAAATAGAGGCTCACATTGTTCCAGTGGGTTTCTCATAGGTGTAAGAGGCTTTTTGATTGACGTTTCAGGTCCCGGCCCGTAGAGCCGGGGTTCTCAATGTGACCCACGGCGAGCCCTTCGGGCCCTTCGGCATCCCAATCTGGTCCTTGATCGTCGGTCATGAGGGGCCTTTGGACCCCCTCGAACACTGATCCTGGCCGACTCGAAGCCCCTTGCCAACACATAATTCCTTGTCAGGCACTGTGGGTCGCTGTTGGACATAGGGGTCCACACATTGACTCAGAGGCTCTAACCAATGTAAATCGCTGGCTCCGCCTTTGTCACTGCCTGGAAAATGGGCCCTCAGGCTCAAGCCGACACGGAGCCGTTTGTTTGGTACTGGTGGTGCCTGACCGATAAAGAGAACCTCATCAACTCATGAGGGCCCAACAGGCGCAAAAGGCCCTTGACTGGCATTTGAGCGTCCGGTCCGCTGGGCCGAAACGCCTCAATACCACCTCGGCCAATCCTTCGGGCCCTTTGACCCCTCAAATCGGCCCCTAATCGTTTTTCCTGAGGTGCCAAAGGGACCAACCAGCCTAATCAATACGCACCAAGGGGCCCTTTTGCCCTTTTGTAGCAGGACCAGACGAGACTGCACGGGACGGAACGGGACTTGATGTGACCAGATGGGGTCGGACTCGATGGAACCCCGACCCAGCTCAACCCAGCCCAGATCAGCCGCCCGGTCCCTGCCCTGTCCATTCCGTCTGGTCCCGCCCGATCTTGTCTGGTTCCATCCGGTCCCAGCTGCTTCCGTCCAATTCCGTCCATTCGCGTCCCGTCCCGTGTGGTTTTGTCCGGTCATGCCCGACGCAGTTCGGTCCCGTCTAGTCTCATACGGTCCTGCTGCTGTACCATGCCGTCCAGTGCTGTGAGGTCCCATCTGAAACCGTATGGTCCAATGCAGTTCCGTCTCATCCTGCTTTGTGAGGTCCCTTCTGGTCCCGTCTGGTCCAGCCGAAGTTCATCCGCTTCCATGCAAATTCCGTTTGGTCTCGGTTGATCTTGCTCGTTTCGTTCACGTCCGTCCGGCCCTGCCTGTTCCCGCCCTGTCACGCCCGATTTCGTCCGGTATCGTTTTGTCTCGTACAATCCCCTTCTGTTCCTCCCGGCGGTGTCCGTCCCGTCTGATCCTGTCTGTCTGATCCTGTTCGGTCACGTTCGATTTCGATTGTTTCCTTTTGATTCCGTCAATGAAAAGTACGTGACTAGAGTTTGCTATAATTATTCGATGCACTGATGGTACTGGATACACAGTTAGTCGCCGATCAGTGTAATTAAGTCAATTAAGCATCCAGAAATCGGCCAACTGCGACTGCGGAATTAAGCAGTACTTTAGCACCTGCGTTATCTTGCGCAAAATTTGAAAAGACATACGCGCGCGCGCCACAATCGGGTTGATTGGGAGAGGCGGTTTGGTGTTATGAGGGGCGTCAGCCTTGAAGTGTATGGACCGGACGAGATATTTTTATATCCTTAAAGCGGCACGACTCTGGTATTGCATTTGCAGGGATCACCAGCAAACGTGAGTATTAAAGTTCCTGTGAGATCTATGCGGTGTCATGGTGTGGATGATTGTGTACGTCAGCATGCCCATTTTGTGTGTCATTTTCCATTTGTATTGCTTGTTAAGGTGCATACTGGAAATGAATATTTCATGTTATTTTTACTATGAAAAATTGAAAGGATGCACTAAGAAAGAACATGTCTTGTACAGTGCCATAAACAATGTTGCCTGGAAGGCTAAGATCACTCAGTTGTGTGCTGCTTATCAGAACTCTTATTTGTAGGCTCACATTTGGCTAAGTACTTACTGGTGTGATTAATTGGTGTGATGATCATAGTGAAGAGCACAAATAAAGACATAAGATCAGTAACTTCATGTCTTCATGGCTGACATTTATAGGATATATTTCCCAGGGGTAATAATAAAGCCCTGGAATGACAACCAGGATATCGCAGCAGTGTGGACACATTTTGGCTTATTCAGGGGTGCCCATCACAGTTCACAGAATTTTGTATGTTTTGGATGATTTTCCCTGTTTGATACATTTTTTCCTGAAACTGCAAAATATGGTCATCACAATGCTTGGCACAACAAAGAATGATAACATGTATATAGTAGGCAGAACATGTAGGTGTCTATATGGTGTTATGAATGAGCACCCTTATCCATGCAAACAACTGTGATATCAGTGGTCATGACATGACATGGTATGTGACAATCAAGCTTTCAACAAGCAGCACATTAAGTTGATTTGGGATAGGTATGGCAAGAGACCTCCCTTGTCAGATGGCTGGTCCAGCTGTCAAGGGGTGTATTTTGCCAAATTACTGGACCCTATAAAATATTATTTGTGGTTCAGGAACTGCTAAAATATGTTATTTAAATGGAACCAGAACCAAACCAGACTAGACAGGGTCAGGAAGGACCAGGGAGCTGGACTGTACAAATGCATGCTATGCCAAACATGTTCAGTGTAGCACTGGTATGGCAAAAATTTCAGTGCATGTGCATCATAACTCTGAGCAATGATCCTTTGTGCATGGCCACCATTGATTGCAGCTTGCAGAGAGCCAATTATTGAAGGAATTATGATGTTGCAAAGGTAATTTCAGGTAAACATACCCTGAAACATTTTTCACATGTATAATTTGAAAATTCAGCAATTTTTCATGGCCTGAGTTGAAATTAAGTGTGAGGTTCAACATGTTGACGTCCAGTAGACATCGCATGTTGTGGGCAGATTTTTTGCAGACTTGCCAGGGAGCATCTGACAGCACTGAGCAGGATGAGGTGGGGCTGGGGCAGGCTCTACTTGGAAGCAATTGGTGCCCAAAACATGTTTGACTCTGGCTGTGATGGGCAGGCAGAGGTTGGCTGGGCCACTTCGGATGGTGACTTTTTAAGTGGAACCTCACGGTTCAGTCTGGTCCCACTCCCACCCCATCCTGTTCAGGTACTCTGCGGTTGTCTGGTCATATCTTGTCCCATGAGGTATGAAAATCCAGATATTTGTTGGAGCTGTACATTGTACACAAAACCTGCATGCCTGAATCACAGAGTTTAACACTTGAATGGCAGTAGTTTTTCTTCATCATTTGAGAAGGGATGGTTAGGCTATTTGTGACTCCTACCTACAAAATGGGAACCAATGCCAAAAGCTCTCAATGTGAAATGTTTTATTGTCAAATGTTGCCATATTGATTACTTTCAAAGTTTAGTGGATTCTGCTCAGCAGGCTTTTCTTGGTTGCTGAGTCATTGTGTTTAAGCTGTTCCAACCATATGGGAATCACCATCTGTGGCTTGTGAAATAGGGGCCAATGTAATTCCACAATGGTCTGTGTTGATGGTGAGAGGGAGGATTGGCAGCAGCTTAGCTGAGAAGTGGAAGCCTTACAAAACCTTGTGAAATACCATTAACCTCTGTTTGCAAACAATCTGTCGTAATAAATAATGCACTTATCACTTAATTTCTGCCTTGGCTTGTCTTCACTCACCAAAACACATCTGGGATGTCACAGTTCCCACATTGTAGAACACCTGCAACAGTTCTTGCAAAGCACCCCAAGCACCATGGCTGTACAATCTGTTGTCACAGCCTGTTGCCGCCTGACCCGTTTGCCCATGGCCGCCCTGACTGGCCGCCTGCGCCTCGGCAGGCCCCGTCGGCCATGGACCTGGACTGGGGTGCCATCCTGGGCGAGTCGCCCATCAGCGGCGCTGGCTACGAGCCGTACCCATCGCTCGAGCCGTCGCCGCAGCTGCCGCCCATCCAGACCAAGTTCTGGTGGCAGGACGGCTACGTCAGCGACGGCGACGGCTTCGGTGAGCTGCGCCGGCGGACGCCGGACGTCTCCGGCGCGGACGCTGCGCTGGGTGGTGTCGGCGGTGGGGCCTGCGCCGCTCGACGGGCGTTAATGTTCTGATGCAGGTCTGGGTGTGTTGATTGCAGACGAAGGGCCCGTCCGCAGTAGACTGAGCTTCGTGTCTGATACGAATCGGCTGTGCGAGTCGCCAGCGTCCGTTGTCTTGTCGTCACGTCGCCTGAGGCGTCGCACCACATTCTGCCTGATGTTCGTACCTCTCCATGGCGGGACACTGCCTGATGCTCGTAGCTCTCCATGGCCGGACACTGCCTGGTGATTGCCTCTCCAAGACCGGGCACTGCCTGATGTTCGTACGTCTCCATGGCCGGACATTCTGCCTGGTGATTGCCTCTCCATTGCCGGGCGCTGAGCCTCACCTGACCTGACCGCCCACTTCAGCATTATCTCGACCTCCACAGACATGGTGTCCGACAACGGCTCGTTCGTCAGCCGGACCCCGGCGCACAAGGCTGGCCGTGGCCGAGGGCGCGGCCAGAAACAGACGGCACACGGTGGGTGCGGACGGGACGGGTGGGAACAGGTGGGGAAAGTCAATATTCCATGTGAAGTAGGAGAGGATGTGAAAAGTGTCCCACGATTGTTGTACAGTCGTTGTTCGGGCGCAGTTCTTGTAGGACCAATGTAATTTCCTTTGCAGTGTTTTATGCAATTATGTGCCATATTTATCGTGAGTCATACGCACTGTTCATTGTCAAGCAAGGCCCTTGCGGCAATTATGCACGCTCATCGAACCGTTGGATGCTCTAGATAAGCCGGCGGCGAAGAAGCGCAAGCCGGCACCGAAGCCGGCACCGCTGGACGAGGACACACCGACGGATGGTGATGACTTGTTTTTCCGCCCAGCGGTAAAGAAGCGCAAGCCAGCGCCGAAGGAGGTAAACACAGCGACGGACGGTGGTGACGATCTGTTTGTCCGACCGGCCGTCCAGAGGCCGCTGCTGACGACGGCCGGCGGCAGGCAGCGCAAGCCGACGGCCAAGGCGGCGGCGCCGGCGCCGGCGCTGCTCCGGCAGCCGTCGCTGGATCGAGCCTCGCTGGACAGCCTGGGCTCGGTGGCGATCGTGCGACCGACGGCGGCGCCGGTGGCTACCACCCGGCTGCCCGCCCCGGCGGCCCCGGCGCCGGCGCTGCTCCGGCAGCCGTCGCTGGATCGAGCATCGCTGGACAGCCTGGGCTCGGTGGCGATCGTGCGACCGACGGCGGTGCCGGCGGCCACCCTGCTGCCCGCCTCGGTGGCGCCGGCGGCTACCACCCGGCTGCCCGCTCCGGCGGCGCCGGCCGCGGCCACCCAGCTGCCAGCTCCGGCGGCGCCGGCGGCTGCGGCGAGGCCACGACAGCCGGCGGGCCGCCGCCGCGTGGGCGCGCGCATCGACTCGGACGACGACGACGACACACCGGCAGCGACGCCCGCGCCCTCTGATGCTGGTGAGAGGCCCAAGTCGCCGCGGAAGATCACATTGGTAACGTAAAATCGCCGATAAATTAGACATCTGAAAGCGGAGGAGTTTTTGGTAGATGAAGCTTGTCACTCCCTTGCATCTATGGGTTCTGGTAGCCAATAAGGGCGGCCCACCGCAGGTGTAAAACTTAAACGACGGAGAATACCATTATCTTGATTGATGCGGACTATAACAACAGGACATTGAATCTGCACGCGAATCCAAAAAGCATCCTTATAGAGAAGCAGCGTTGTCTGCAACATTCAGTATACAGACTATAGTACAGAAGACGTGCGCTGGGCCGTCCAAGCTTCGCTGACTCGACGGCAGATGTCGCGTCGAGCGTTAGGGACCACTGACGCCGCCCACCTCCCGAGGTGGGCTGGCGGTGCCTGCTGGGAGCGTCCCGGCCGAGAGCTGCCCACCGGGTGCAGCCATCAGTAGGTGGGGGGGGGGGGGGGGGGGGGAGGGGGCCTGTCATCCCGCGCAGGTGACTGTGCCGTGTTCATCTCCACTGGGCGTCGCCGCACTGTGACCTCCCCTGAGCCCACTCCCGGGCCATGGAGAGGTCGGCTCTACCTCGAAGCGACTGCCGTGCCCGATGTCCGCGTCATCCGCCGTGCGGCGGCCACGGCGGCGAGAGCCCGGAGCATCAGGGGCTGGCCGACCGGCGGGCACCGCTCCCTGACGAGCAGGACGGCCGCTCCGCGGGTGGTGGGGCTGGACAGGATAGCGGTGATTCACCTTGTACGCGCCTTGTACGGCCACTGGTTGGGGTCAGCGCAGTAGCTGCCCTGGATCGGCCCGGAGCCGTCCCGGGACTGCAGCGGTGTGGCAGCCCGAGCTGCCGGGACGATCTGCAGCAGCATCTGCTGGGACGATCAGCATCTGCCCGCGACAATCTGCCCGAGCGTGGATTGTCGAGCGGCAGCGGTGTGGCGCCCGTGGCGGCCGCCGCCAGACTCCTCCAGAGTCGCAGTGGCACGCGTGTCCCCGTGAAGTCGGCGTCGCAGCCGTGAGCGACACCTGTCATGGGGCACTACCGACGGCGCCGCTCGGACGCTCGTGACTTGACAATCAGCTCCGAAATCTGGACCACTCTACCCTGACGGAGCCATCTCGGCTATGGCAGTGACGGTGGGAGCGAGCGGGCGGGCACGTCGGACGGTCACACGGAGCCGACTGGGCGAGCGGGTCACGTCTGGTGTATATGGCGCTGAGGTGTTATTCTGGAAATCAGCATGCGAGACGATATCTACACACCTTAAAGTCCAGACAGTTTGGATGTAGGATCTTGACTCGGTGAAGCCAACAGCTTCAGACTTAGAGCTCTGCGTCGGCTGTTCCTTGGACTTATCGCGACGAATGTTATCTGCACAAGTTTCATCGTCATTCAGTTGTTTAAAAATACGGTTACATAACTGACGCAGGGAAGTATATAGATTTCAGATGTCCAACCCAGTGGTGTTGAATTTTGTGTGATCAGTTAACAAGCATATATCCTATATGTATATATGTATATATATATATATATATGTATATATATATATATATATAATATATATATATACATATGTACATATATAAAGCTATATCATAATCCAGTGATGCAAAAGTGCTCCAGAGACGCAAGTTTGGCTCAGTGAACCCAGGAGGTTTCAGTTGTCTGGGTTTACGGTGTTGTCTTTGAAAGAGCGTATACTTCCACCCACTGCTGACCAGCTGGCATGCCTATCTTGATTGTCCGCTCTTTTAGGCAATATCAATTTACATATTGATATCAAAAGGCAGACGTCAGATGGATCGGCAGAAATCACAGCCCTTGACTTGATGTCTGCAAAATGCAAGAATGTGTTCATGTGCTAGAAGTGCGTCAGGGTCTGTTGTAGGTTAAAAAGGGGTTGTTGTAGGTTGCGCTACATCCTTTAAAAGATGTAGCGCAACTTGTTTAAGGTGTTGGATACGATCACAAAATGATTTCTCTAATCGCGCTCGTAACCTCGTCAAACAAGTCGCTTTCATCACTCACGAACGCTAACCGGACCGTTGGATGTTCCAGACAAGCCGGCGGCGAAGAAGCGCAAGCCAACGCCGAAGGACGTGAACGCAGCGACGGACGGCGATGACGACGTGTTTGTGCGGCCGCGTAAGCCAGTCGCGAGGCGACGCAAGCCGACGGTCAAGGCTGCGGCGGCGGCGGCGTCGACCGCCGCCCCTGCCGACGGCCCCCGGGCCAGCCCGCCCGCACCGGCGGCGGCGAAACCACGGAAGCCGGCCGAGCACCGCCGCCGCGTGGCCGTCTGCACTGACTCGGATGACGACTCCCCGGCAGGGACGCCAGCGGTCTCTGGCGCCGGTGAGAGGCGCCCGGCACGCTGTGGGGTCGGGGCTGACCCGTTGGACTGGCGCGGTTCACGCTTTAGGCCACGCCCGCGGGAGGTGCTTGAGTATCCGGGATCATCGGCTGGGGACAAATCGCAATTCATGTGGCGTGACGCGGGTGGTGCTGCGTACGATCAAATGATGTGCGAGGGTTGGCAACGTCTTCCTCTGACACGCATTGGTCGAAACATGCGCATGGAGGCGCAGGTGGTCTTCCTCTGGTATTCTGAGTGGCACGCCTCCAGTTCTCGCTGCCATTTCTCAGCAGCATATTCGATGTCATTCCGTTGGTCCAACCGGCGCCGCCGCCCTGTCCATCCGTCCACGGCCACACACCCATCTCAGAAGAGGGGAGGGGGGTGCTCTTCTCCCCGACACTCAGTCCTTCCGCCGGTCGCGTGCCACGAGCGCGGCCGGCGCGCGCGCCGCTGACCGCGGCCCCTGCCGCAGATGGCCCGCGCCGCAGCCGCCGCCCGCGCGCCGCCGCCCCCGTCCGCTACTGCTTCGACTCCACGCTGGGGTTCACCACCGGCGACGAGTCGGAGCTGGAGCCGACGGACTCTGTTGGCGAGCTGGCGACTGCCGCCGCGCCGCCACCAGCCGCCGGCCGGTACGCACCGCCGCCGCGGAAAGGCGCACCGCCCGGTGGGCCGGCAGGACTGCCGTGGCGGTTCGGGATCGGCGCCGCAGGCGTGGTGTCGTGATGGTCCGGCTTTGAGTGCGGTGGTATGATGACCCTCACCGCGCCGCTCCTCGCCATGCTGCTGGCTGGCTTGTAGCGCGAATGGTGTCGCAATGCAAAGCGTGTTCGTGTGCATGCTGACAGTGACCGCTGCACTCGCAAGTGGAAGGCACGAAGGCAAATGCGACGTTGGATCGGTGAAGTAATAATCCCAGCTTGTGGGAATTTACCAACCGTCAGGTGCAGTTTGTTTACACGCCGTGTCGTGCGATTAGGCCGTGGGGCTTTGCAGCTGCCCTAACCCCCCTCCCCTGGTGTCTTTTTTTAGCCGCGGGACGCGGCATGGAGAAAAACCCTGTTCCGGTTTCGACAGCATCGGTCCCGCACGCGCCAGAGACGTCTCAGCCGCCGTCGCTGACGCTGGGATTGTCATTGCCGCCGCCGACGCCGCCTCCTTCCACACCCCCGACGCCGCCTCTGACGGCGTCTCCTCCACCGCCGCCGCCGCCGCCGCCGTCACTGCCGCCACTGCCGCTGCCGGAGGAGCACGTGTTCCTGAAACCCGCGGCTCCGGCACCGAAGCGCGCCAGGGGCCGGAAGCGCGCGGTGAAGGTGGCGGCGGCGCCAGCGCCGCAGGACCTCAACAGCAGCGTGCTGACACGCTCCGCTCGCAAGCTGGCCGGCGCCCCGCCGTTGCTGGCGATGGATATGAACAGCAGCATGGCACGCGCCACGGCTAGAAGGCGGGCAAGAACACACTCGCCGTCAAGCGGGGACCTGGACACCAGTGTGTCGACGCGCGCCGCTCGGAGGAAGGCCAGCGCACCGCCGCCGTCGTCGACGCCCGCGTCCGGCGACGCGGACCGAGCCGGCAGTCGGAGTCGATCCAGAGCAAGGTGGCTGTCGGGTGTAGACCTGGACAGCAGTGTCATGACACGCGCCGCTTGGAGGAGGGCGGGTGCCCCTTCGCCGCCGGCGAGTTTGGTCCTGGACGACAGTATCACGATACTCGCGGATCGCAGACGCCCCGGTGCCCCGCCGTCGCCGGCGGCGGATGTGAACAGCAGCGTCGTCCAACCTAAGATTCGGGGCCGGCCGACGAAACTGTCCGAAGATAGACAGCTGGGGGTGGACCTGGACGTCAGTGTGATGACGCGAGCGGCTCGAAAGCGCGCCGCGGCGCCGCCCCAGCCGCCGGTGTCGGGCGAGGCCGGCGCCAGCAGCGCTGATGGAGCGGAGGCTGCCGCGCCAGCCGGTGCCTCGGCCGCGGAGCACGGGACGGCCGCCGCCGCCCGTCCGCCGCCGCGCGGCCGGCGCGCCGCGTCGGCGACGAGCAGCGACTCTGGCCTGCCGACCGACGGCGAGTCGGGCAGCTGGGGCGCGCCGGCCGGCCGCCCGGCCCGCAGGCCGACCAAGCCGCGCGCCAAAGCCGTCCGGGCCGGCTCGCGGACCGAGACCGGCGCCGGCCGAGCGGGTGACGCCGCGGAGTCGATACCGGTAGCCATGGGAGCCGGCAGAGTCGACACCAGAGCCGCCGGCAGGGCTGTCGGCCGCTGTGGAGGCCGCGACGACCGCCTTGGTGCGGCGGGCTCCGCCGTCGCCGCCGCCGCCGCCGACTGCGGCCCTTCAGACGCGGGCCGCGCCGCCACTGCAGCTCGTAGGTGAGTGTCGGCGCCGCTGAGGCAACCGCTGAGCCCAGCCGAAGCGCTGCGCGGGGCCGCCTGACAGCACATCCCACCCTTGCTCCCGTGACGTCACTGGCCTGATGCGTGTGTGTGCCCGGGCCGAGGCTCGATGGCAGCGCGGTGCGATCGACTGGGCCGGCCAGCCGACCGGCCGCCGCGCTAACCCGACCGGCTGTTTCAGCGAATCCCAGCGAGGGCCGCCAGTGGCTGTGCGAGGAGCAGACGGGCGCCGCCGAGCCGGCCTCCTCCTGCCGCCTGCAGCAGACGGACGTCTCGTGCGCCGGCCTGATCCGCGTGCCGCCCAACCACGGCGAGAAGGGCGACGCCGCGCTGCGACACGCGATGCTGGTGAGTCGCCCGGCCGGCGGTGCCAGCTCTGTCTCAGGTCGACGGCCGGGCTGACGGGCCGGCGCGTGCCTCTGCGTGGCAGCTCCTCCGTGTGGAGCTATCCCCGCACTGGTGACGGCTGCGCGAGGTTGGCGTCACGCTTGGCCTGCAGCGCGCGGTCGCGCTCGCCGGTGCTCCAGCGCAGCGCTCTGGCTTCTCGCTTCCCCGCCTAATGATCCCAGCTGCTGGGAGAGAACGGCGCTACGGCTGCCGCAGCTGTAGTGCTCTTAACACCGATTCGTTCCTCGCGCGCGTCACCACGAGTGATAGTCTTCTCCACAGCGCAGCCGCGGTGGCTGACCAAGCTCGGTTCCCCGCGCGCGCCACCGTGAGTGACAGCCTTCTCCACAGCACAGCCGCGGCGGCTGACCAAGCTCTCGCGCCTCGGCGGGAGTGGGGTCCTCGCCGGGGGGGGGGGGGGGGGGAGCCGCAGACCGTGGCTTGTGCGCGGGCGACTGACGCTGGACCGCCGCCTGTTGGCAGCACGGCTACGTGCTGTCGGGCCGCGGCGTGCTGCTGCTGAACGGCTCCAGTCTGGACATCCAGCCCGAGTCGGCCTTCGTCGTGCCGCCCGGTGAGTGTGTGACTGGCCGGCCGGCGCGACTGCCGGCCGCCGATGAACGGGGTTTAGACGGTGGCGGTGTTGCCTTCCCCTCCCCATTCTCCGCCCCCCCCCCCTTAAAAACGCATCTTGAGCGGTCCAGGTGCACCCGTGGGTTTATAGCCTTCGTTTCTAGACTCTTACCTGAGAACAGATTAGCAGCCCTCCCCCCCCCCCCGCCCCCGGTCTCCTGTGCTCCAGTGATATATATATATATATATATATATATATATATATATATATCTATATCTATATCTATATCTATATCTATATCTATATCTATATAGATAGATAGATAGATAGATAGATAGATAGATAGATAGATAGATAGATAGATAGATAGATAGATAGATAGATAGACAGTGCATGCCTGGCAGGACCAGTATTATACAATAAGCACGTAAAACCACAGAAAAGAAGGCTTAAGGTAATCAAAACCAAAGCCAGCGAATGGCAGTCCGCCAAGGATCCCGCCAAAGTTACATTCATTCGTTTGATGTTGGCAAAGAATATCAACCGAACTGGTCCTGGGGCCAAATACCCGGCCAGCCTCCTGCGAAATCCGGGTGGATCTCCAAGGTCACTCAACTAAGCACAAGTTGTCGCGGAGTTTGCTCAGAGAGCCGGCGTCATTAATAAGGATGTTATTGCACGACGATATTGAGCCTGGCGGTGATTATGGGTCCTAAATAATGTCATAAGTGAAGCGAGTTACAACCGTTCGGGGTGAGATATTGTGGCGATGACTTGTGTCATTTCAGATATGTTGGCTGCCTTAGATATGTAGCGACAATGCTTTTTGTATTATTTCTCATGATCGCTTTTATCCTGGAGTACCATTTATTCATGGAACATGCGGAACCGTGATGTTGTTCCACAGTTTAGGACCAATGCAACATGTAAACAAATTAAGATTCCATTTCAAATTGAAAACAAACTTACAAATGACGTAGCAATGCTGCTGTGATTGTTGTATCATACCGCGCCCAGGGAGTTTCGGAGGGGCGCGGGGAGCAGGGCTGCCTCAAGCCTCAAAGACACTGGACCCATTGCAATAGCTCGGTTTCTTCCCGTACCAGAGTTTTCTCCCATGCATCAGCGTCCACAGGTGGCTTCGAGGCCAGTGATCTCGTCAGTGACCTAGCCGATGCTTAACCCGACTCGCTGTCGGCGAGGCCACCCAGCTGTTTGTTACCGGCCCGTCTGCCCGTGCCGCAGGCTCCATGTACCGCATCGCCAACTTCAGCCCGGTGGAGATGGTGATCAGCGTCGTCACGGTGTACCAGCGGCGGCTGCAGCCGGCCGGCTTCTTCTGCCGGCCGCTCGGCTGCTGAGCGCTCTTGCCTACGGTCGCCGCCGCGCTGCCCCTCGAGGTCAGGCGCGTGCCCTGCGGCGCGTGGCGAGCGGTGGACGAGAGGCCTCGCGGTGACGTGCGGACGGAGCGCGGCGCCGAGAGTGAAGCAGTGCGCGGTTGGCGACCGCGTCGGGGCGGCGAGGCGTGCGAGGGAGGCGGCGGCGGCCGCGGCGGCCGGACAGGTGGCTTGGACTCGCTCGGTCTGCCTGTCGCCAAGCGGACTGGGGCGTGGCCGGGCCGGACGCGCGCTGCGGCCGTTGCGACGCCCTTCGCTCCCGCCTGGCGGCGGAGGACGCTGTGCGGCGGCGGCCTGGACGTGCGCGCCGAGGAGCTGGTGCGGTGTGACGGTGGTGTGACGTGTGGCAAGAGAGGGAACGTTGGCGCGTCGGGAGGATTGTGGGGCGTGGTACCGCCGAGTGGCAGACACGAGAGGAAGTGGTTCAGACGTGTTTTAGCCGAGGACTGCGAGCTTCGTGTCGCTTCATTACGTGGTCGGCCGTGAGGGATGATTGTGCTGTTGAGGCACAGGCTCTGGAGGAACGGAAACATACCTGTCGTGAAACAAGGGTTTGAAAGGAACGTTTATGAAATTTTGTTCTAGGTACAACTACTTGAATATTTTACTGGCTGGCGGACGATAAGACTAACCGTATTTGAAAGCACCCAGCGGCACCTAACACACAAGTACTGAATCCTGTACATATGATGTTTGACGTGCCGTTTGAATTTTTTAGTTTGCTCCGAGCAATAAGTTGGGGCTTCGCGCGCTGGTGGTCTGAGCGCTCCTTGCAGTGTAACCATTTAGCTCGGCTTCCGAACTGCGAGACCATCGATGAAAAGCGTGTGTACTCCGTTGTGTGCTGCGATGGTGTTGTGACCGTGCCCCAAACCCTCGGCGCAGGGTGTCGCGGTCGCCCGCTCGCCCGCACTGCGATCAGAGGCGAGTGGGGTTGGGGACTGCAGCCGACATGGGCGTGGGGGCGGAGACCGCACTCGCTCCACGTCGTCAGCGGTGTAGTTCTGCGATTAGTCTAGTATCTTAGCCCGGGGGACATTGGCTGGGTTTCCCTGCTCATGTGCGCTGCTGGCCTTGTTCGTAATACATATACCATCCGTAAAACAGGTGCTCGTTATGCCGCTCATCGCCAGGGACCAAAGACGCTGCTTGCGGAATCAGGGCGCCCGACTGAGCCAGCTTGGTGCGAGCTTCCTTGGGCAGGAGCTGGGGTGGCATGTGACGGAGCTCGCTGAAGTGGCACGTTAAATTGCTGATTTCAAAAACTAGATCAACGGTGTACGAAAATTGTCGACGCTCAAGCGATGAGATAGAAGAAACGTGCTCTGTTTGCAGCGGCTGGTCTTGCGGTCAGCTTTTGATATTGCTCAATCACTCCACACTTGTCAGTCAAAGCCTATATTATTATCGCGCGCTCTCGTGACGTCTGCGTGTGTGGCCAACGCCGTACCGACTGGCGGTAAATGACGTTTAAGACTGACACTAAGTCGAAGTCACGGACCAAAGTCCGGCACGCGTGCAATGGATTGGACTGCAACCTAACAATGGATTGTGGCGTGCGCTGCTGTGTAGCTGAGCGAATAATCTACTAGAAACACACTACGATGCATCTGTTGGCATAAAACTCACCCCACACGTCACAAACGACTTCAGCCCGACGAGGTTTATTCATTAATCAACGTACATACATGAATATATATAATAACAATGATAAGATCAGAGATATGCGCAGGGTGCCGCGCGCGGCGCGCCGGTGGCGCCTCTGGCGGCTCACGGCGTAAACACCCGCAGCGTCCGCATGAGCGCCGTCAGCACGGCGGCCAGGTGGGTGGCCTGCTTCATCAGCACGGCCATGCTCGGGTGCTCCATGGGCCGGCCGCTGGCCGCCGCCGCCGACTGCACGGTCAGAAGGTAGGCGTCGCAAACGGCGCGCACCTTCAGCACCAGGTTTTGCGTCTGTAGCGGCGCCGTGGTGTGGCTGGCGGCGAGCTGCGTGACCGCCGTGGCGCGCTCCATCAGGCCCATGCAGGCGCGCAGGCAGTCCACCAGCCGGTCGGCGCTCTCGGTGGCGCCCTTGACGAACAGCTTGCTGGCAGTGACGAACTGGCGCGCCTCGTTCGTCAGCTCGTCGCGAGCCAGCTGGAACTTGGACTCGTTCATGCCCTCGGGCCCGCCGGCCTGGTGCGCCAGCGCGCATGCGCTGGCGATCTCGTCCAGCCGCTGCGACATGAGGCCGAGCCGCTCGCACGCGCGGAAGAACACAGTTCGCTCGTCGTCGTCGCACTCGACGCTCGTCTCCAGCGAGTCGTCCTCGAAGCTCGAGTCCGCCGGCCGACCGCGAGGTGGCAGGCGCGGCGAGCTCGTCTCCAGGGGCGGCTCGAGCGCCGGCTCGGGCGCCGGTTCGGGCGCGGCCGGCCGCGACGGCGGCGGCGGTGGCGGCGGCGGCAGCGGCAGGCGGCGAGGCGAGCGGTCCGGCGGAGGCGGCGGCGGAGGCTTGCGGCCGCCCGGTGAGTGTGGCGGCGTGGGCGCTGCCGGTCGCCCTGCCGCCCGCTGCGGAGAGGGCGGCGCCGCAGGAAGCGAGCGCTGCGTCGCCGGACGCCGCAGCCGGGAGGGCAGCGCCGGAGGAAACTCGGCCGCCGTCGGCGGCGGTTCCTGTCGAGACGAAGATCGCAAGGGGTCAGAGCCAAGAGGAGGTGCTACGCGAACCACTCGAGTTGGGGGACCAACGCTTCCCAAAGACGTCAACATCGGGAGCGCGTAGCAAGGCTGGCGGTAAACATATTCTGGATAGATGGAAAGTACCGTTAGGAAAACAGACCGCGAACAGAAGTTTGGACAATTAAACGAACGAACCCCGCCGTCTTGCGGCTCAATTTGGAGAATGTGTTTGGTTGTTTGGATAAGAGTCCTTTCGGCCAGACATGATCACTTCCGGGCTAACGGGGAGAGCTGCCGTTTCAGGGAGACTTATGGACATCTAATCACTATACATCACTGTCACAAAGTATGATAGTGATGATAAACAGCTTAAAAGTGGTTGAAAAGCAAGCGCCCCTGAAGAGCACATCGCCTCCTCGCGGCACACCAGGGGTTCAGCCCCACAGGACTCCGCTCCTGCCTGCGGGGCGGCGACGCACCTGCAGCGGTCGCGCCACCAGCGGCTTGGGCGGCAGCGGCGGCAGCTGGCTGCCGACGGCCGGCCGGCCGGCGGGCCGCGGCGGCGGCGGTGGCGGCGCGGCCCCGCCTGCCCGCCGCCGCTCCAGGGTACGGAAGACACGCGCATTCTCCTCCAGAGCCCGCTCCAGTTTCTGGTCCGAAGCGAAGGCCTCGGCCACCTGGCGAACGGCGCGCCAGTCAGGCGGCGTCGAACGCGATCTGACACACAGCTAAGCAATAATAACCTCTCGGAGAGGTTTGGAATGTTGTGAGGAAATCAAACCCTGTTCGCCCGGGGCTTCATTGGGGCGACAACCTCGCCAAGTGCAGTCATGATCGTCCAGAATGGTGAAAGCCCATGGCTTGCAACAGCTAACAACAAGACTTCGATGGCAATGTGGAAAGAAACGGGCGAAAGTTCCGCCGGGCAGTCTGATGGGCAAACACCGAAAAGATCTGGAAGCAAAGTAGACCACGTCTTGCCCGTATCCCACTTGGGGGAGTGTCGGACATCTAGAGCGTCGCGGCGCCATGCCTAGCGCTAGGAGCGTTAAGGTTAAATCAACCGGCCCCGAACAGACTAATTTCCTTCACCGCGGTCTTCCAGTCCTAATGAAAGCCATGTTTCTCGCGGAGCCAACAAATGTGACGCTGATCCGAAATGAAAATCATTAGTTGCACTGCGCCTACCAAGATGGCAGCACATTCGCCAAATAGGGGTATCGACAAAACCAAAAGATGTCACCAAGGCACCGGTAGGTTGTCCTTGGTTTTCATTATTTTCTGCAGAGGTACTGAGCTACCATTTTCGAAAGGTGGCTGCCAGCACAAGACTTCGTGGCGAGTTAGACAAACTACATGATTTACAACTGAGCAACCCATATAATCGCACGAAGTCCCGATAACACACATGCCAACAGTTCTACTGCGCACAGAACTCCAACACCGTGGGAAAGGCCCTCAGTGGCGTGCTCTGGCCAATACCAAAACTACACAGTGCGTGCGCCCCCAGGAGTTCCATCTCGCCTTACGCCTGCGCACCGAGCCTTTTTCTTCCTCCCCGCCGCCCGCCGCACCCGTACGTCCCTACAATGGGTCGGATCGCGTGATCGATGACGTCATCGGCGGCTATCGGCGCGCCGCCGTGTACCTGACTAGTTCCATTGGCCTGCGCCGAGCGCAGCTGCTGCTGGAGAGAGGCGATCTTGGCGCCGACGCGGCCGCGGCCGGCGCGCGACACGGCGCTGTTCGTGACCCGCAGCTCATCCACGCCGGAGACCGGGTTGGCGTCGTAGTGGCCCTCCTCCTCGGCCTGGGAGGCGCGCGGCGCGGCCGGTCAAGCCCCTTCCGGCGTCGACTCGGGGGACCCGGGCCGGTGGTACACACGCGCACACAAACAACATGCGAGGAGGGCGCTACGGTGTGGTGATTTCTCTAGGCAGACATAAAGAGTGAATTACGCGCAGGTGGGACATGGGGGGGGGGGGGGGGCGGAACGAGGAGCAGACAGGCGCCAGTACGTCGGCTGCTAGTCTAAACAATCACTGTGCTAGGTGCCGGAAAACACTCAGAACGCTAACGGAAGCACACAGAGCACCGTTCGTCGCGAAACTACACTGGGGCGTGAGGCCGGGGGAGGCGAAGTGACGGCGGAACAGCCGGTACGGGTGGAAGATGGGTGAGGGGGAGGCTCACCTGCGCCGGGGTGCTGCCGGCCGCGCTCGGCGGCGGGGGGATGATGAAGGAGGCGATCTCGTCCCGGGTCAGCTCCACCACCGGCGACTCGTCCGACCGCACTCGCGGCGCCACCTGCCGCAGGCCAGGCCAGGTCAGGTCAGGTCAGGTCAGGTCAGGCATCGGTCAGCTGCCTGCTGCTACCATGCTCGCTGCGTGTGCTAGTGTTACGAGGGCATGTATCGTGCTGCGTTATGTTGACTTCAGAAGCTAGTGTTTCATGCGAAGCGGCCCTCGACTCAGAAGAACATCCAAATTTGAAAAATACCAGATACCACCTGAAGCTCAAACGTTCTCTGCGATGTGACGACCATAGCCATATCAAAGCAGGCCTGATCATAGTTCAAAGTTAGTACGCATGTGGGTGGGTGATATTTTCATCCCGTTATTACGCAAATAAAATGACGGCATCGCATTTCATAACTTTTTCATCTATTTTCTGTTTTCATCATCGCAGCTTCAATCTCTCCATTTATGTGACGTAGACTAGCTTCACGTCTTTCGATGCCACATTCCAACTTTTGTCCATCACACTTTATCCTGCGATAGCCATCATGTTTCCAAAAGTTAAATCCGATAAAAACTGGCGAAAATGGAAGGGTTCACGTCGTACAAACTTACAAGCGACGAAGAGCAGATTTAACGGTGTATGCGGATAAACATGCTGGTCGCCAGAGACATCATGTCAGCGGACCTGACATAACAACGGCTGAACAGACGGCCGCTGCCTGGCCTTAGCAAGCTTGCCAGTCTGCTTAAATCGTTACAACAGAGTGCTACCCGACCTACCGACAAAACACTGCGAGAAACCCACATCAAAACCAAGTGTTTATTGATCCGGAGAGTCTGCAGGATGAGGGAATAACCCAATTTGTTTTATTTTGGTGAGTACACAAGCGTGACCTGTCTTCAACTTAGAGACCAACCGCAGCATGGCGAGGGTGACTGAACAGACTGTGGATGTTAGAGGGCGTGCGACCTGACCTACCCCCAGGTCAGAGGGCGGCGGAGCATTGTCAGGGTGGATGAACAGACTGTCGATGTCAGGGGTGTGCGACTTGACCTACCTCCAGGTCAGAGGGCGGCGGCGGCATGGTCAGGGTGGCGATCAGACTGTCGATATCGGAGCCGGTCGGCTGTGAGCTGAACCCGCTGCTTGGTGAATCCTCGGGAGATATGATGGCGGCAGCTGGGGATGGCGCGAACCGCATGAATCTCAGAAACGTCAGGCCCGGGATTACGAAGGTTCAAACGCCACGCGAGAAGAACGGTGCTTCCACACAAAACAGACGAAAGTTTAAAATATAGCGTACAAACTTGGCGAAGATAAGCGTTGATCACTGTCGGGTTTTTAAACACGCATCGTTTTAATTTCCCTTTCATTTCATTAACTAAAAGAAGTTACGAGACACACAATAAAGACAGCCAAACACTCTCCGAAGGCTTCATTCCGCCAGAAATAGAGCGATGTAATCAGAACATCTCGGGACACAAAAATAGAGCGTATTCGACCAAAGCATCGGCGTATCATGCCACCACCCAGGGCGCCATTGTAGCGCTGCAGGCGACCGTTCTGACCTCGCACCAGCTCGCCGACCCTGTCCAGGTCCCCGAGGTCACGCTCCAGCGCCTGCAGCTCGGCCTCGAGCGTCTCGCGGTCGGCGAACGGCGTCGGCGGGGTCGACAAGCTCGGGCGGGATCCGCGCGGGACCGTCCTGTCGGGCCGCCGACATCCGTCAGCCGTCCGACACTGCGACGACGCCGGCGGCACACGCGGTGATGGCAATGACCAGCCTCGGGGCAAGCGGCTTTCGGAGCATCTCTTCACTGCAGCGAGAGAGCGAAGGCCGGCCCCTGGGATCACGCCCAGGATCGCGGGTCGGGCGGAGGGGCCGCAGCCCACGCCGCGTCAGACGCGCCAGGGTAATACGCGTCAGAGAGGATGACAGACGATGGGCGGAGATGCGGGGGAGCGGGGGAGCGGGGGAAGCGGGGGGAGCTGGGGAAGCTCCGGCGACCGAGCAGGGCGTGGTCATTGACTGCGTCCGGTGTGGTGGGGACCATGGCGCTGTTACTGACACCGGCCGGCGTCACGGACGGCGAGGCCATGGTGATGTTGCCGGCCTTTTCCCGTGTCATAGGTCGCAGCGGTGTCACTGACCTCGTCCGGTGTCATGGGCGGCGGGATCATAGTGAGGTCGATGATGTCCGGGTCCAGGTAGAGGGCGCCGTCGGGCAGGGCTGCTTCGCCGACCCCGTTCGTCTTCTGCAGTACGTCCTGGAGGCACGGCAGGACATGTGACGTCACGGGAGCCCCACAGCTGTGACGTCACAGGCGCCCGGCGGCTGTGAGGCATACTCCTATCGTACCGGAAGGGCTTTCAATTACCAAGTACTCTAAAGTGTTTTAGATCGAGTGCGAGATGCTATCGCATCAACAAATTAGTTACAAACTTTGTGAAAAAGGCGTCGAACTGAAGTAGAAATGACCGATTTGATTATGTCCCCAACCCCACTCGACGCCACATGGCAATTCCGTCTACTAAATTTCACTATCAAAAGTCAATATCGCCGAGCTCAAAACATATTCGCACATTCCTTTAACTGAGAAGCTCTTCCGCGCTGCACACCGACGTACCTTCAATTTCCCATCAGACACGTTATCTGGACTATGCAAGCCGAAGCTGGCTCCTCCAGCGGTCGCCTTCTGAGGCTGTACTTGATTAGGTCGCCGATAGGGCGACCCGGTGGGCGTGGACAGTGAATCAGTGTCACTCTCCGAATGGTCCACGTCTGGAAGCTTGATTCCCTGCACCCCATCTAGGCGGTCCTTGGAGGTCTGCAACAGAACACAGACACCACTGTTACACCTGATAAACCCGCCGCAAGCCGAGGACAGCAATGCATAAACTTTCTCAACGCGTCCACTTTGAAACGTTGTTGAATGATTTGATAAAAAAAAATCAGTCGTACGTGACGATGCGATTGTGGCGGCAAGGTCAATTTAGAAGGAAACGAGAGCCAGCTAGCCTAAATCCTGGATGCCTATGGCTTCTAATAGCCCGCGGCTTCCGATACCTGCGGCTTGAACGCATACCAAGCGCTCGTTGTTCGCACTCACAGCTGTGCTCGGCGCGCAAAAACAATACAGAGTGCTCCAGACGCAAAAACAATACACAGCCATTCCCAGCCAAGCAAAGAGAGCCAAACGGTGCCAATGCCAGCCCGTCCGCACTCGCGTAGCTTCCAGCTCACCTGCAAAATGAGCCCCCCCCCCCTCTTCCAGCTCACCTGCGAGATGAGTTCCCCAGCTCACCTACGAGATAAGCCCCCCTCCAGCTCATCTGCGAGATGAGCCTCCTCAGCTCACCTGCGAAATGAGTCCCCCCCCCTTCCAGCTCACCTGCGAGATGAGCATCCCCAACTCACCTCCGCGATAAGCCCCTCCCCCCAGCTCACCTGAGAGATGAGCCCCTCGCCCCCCCTCTCCCCCAGCTCACTTTCGAGATGAGCCGCCCCCGCCCCCAAGCTCACCTGCGAGATGAGCAGCAGACTGTCGCTGTGCTTCAGCGGGCCGAATGCCGTCTCCGACTCGGAGCGCGAGAGCGAGAGCGCGGAGCGGAGCGACTCGGCGTCCTCGGGCCGCGACGAGGTCAGGTAGTTCTCGGCGTCGGCCACCAGCTGGCGCATGCCTGCCAGCCGCTCGATCACCTGCGGTCGCGGGGTCAGCGCAGGGTCAGAGGGGGCGGACGGGTGGTAAGGGTCACCATCGGGCCAGGGACGGTTGGGGGTGGTGAGGTGTGGAGCTTATGTCGGGTCGGAGGGGTCATGCTGAGGTCCGTGAGGCGGCGGCATTTCGCGTCGAATGCATGATTCTTATGCTGATTATGCATTACATTCATGGGGCTTGGAGCTCGCACTATCGCAACTCCTATTCGAGATCATTAATATCGATATGCTCTATTACTGTCAAATGTAAAAATCACTTCCCAGCTTGACCTGCTATTTAGCGGACAGTTGAGAGGCATCTTTCCTTTCCAGCATGTTCTATATGAGGGTTACCAGCATATTTTCTCTCTCACCTCATTGTTTTTGGCTTCAGCAATACTGGCATCATCCTCTTCTTTTTCACCAGCCCCCGGGATGAAGTCGTGTTTGCCATTTACCGTACCGAAGCCGGCGAGGTTCGCATTTGTCTCCGTCCTGTCAAGACGAGGCTAAGTTTAGGGAGTACGGAATAGCATCCATCACCCAGGGCTCGCTCAGAGGTCGGCGCCAGAAGGACGACGAAGGCGGGAGGCTCTGAAATAAAACGCTTCTAAAAGAACCGACTGCAGGCCACATAAGCTCTCAAAGCATTCACGACAATATTCCTGGGTATTCAAATGAGCGGTGTAGATGAAGTCTTCTGGACGCCGTTAGCAGAAAATGGAATAAAAAGAATGAGAACAGGGAGCACTGTTGAATTATGCTGAGCCTTGCCCGGAGCTGCAGAATATGGTGGGTGGAAATCGTTAATCTTGGAACTCAAAGTGAGTGATGAGGATGATAAATGCATTTTAACAACCAACAAATGCCACGCATTCCGAGGAGTTCGACAGAATCAAGTGAGACAGGTGCACATTTAAACAAAACTTCGGCATAATGAACATACTCAGAAAACGAGCAAAGTTCGCAGCAAGAAGATTCTTTTCGCAATAATGCTAAGCAAGCCACTATGCCTCACGTTCGAAACAAACAGGGAAGCACACAGGTGGCGGTGCCGGGCGCACCGCTCCGACGTGTTCCACGCCAGGACGTGAATCATGCCGGGTTCAGCCTACTTAAACTCTATTGCGACCCCTTCACATCACAAAAACTAGCCATTTTTTACCACCATAATTCACTATTAACAGCTACTTTCCTTGATTACGGGCCTTCAAGCTGCACTCCGGCTTCGCACGCACCCAGCGAATACCCCAGCCCTGATCGCGTTTTCCTGGCGACCCTTAGCGCGCCTGGGATCCACTCCAGCTCCGGCACCACGCCGTGCGCCGCTTTAACAAGCTCGCCTCGCGGTGCTGCTCACGTTTTGTTCATGTTTTTGTCGACGGAGGCGAGGCGGCGGCGCTCCGCCGGGCTGGGCTCGGCCTGCTCGGCTTCTTCGTCCGAGGCGTGGCCGTTGAGCAGCGCGGCCGCCTGCTCGGGCGCCGCCCGGTATGGCGGCGGCAGCGAGAAGTCGGCCGGCCGCAGCTCGGCCGGCCCGCCCGTGTAGCTCCACGGCGACGGCGCCACCGCGTGGGTGCTGTGGTACGGCGGCGCTGCGGGAGGGGGTCACGTTAGGTCAGGGTTCAAGTTAGGCGTTCGTTTAGACGTCAGGTCAGGCGTCAGGTTAGGCATCTCGTCAGACGTCAGGTTAGGCGTCAGGTTAGGTGTCAGTTTAGTCGTCACGTTAGGCGTCAGGTTAGGCGTCAGGTTAGGCATCAGGTCGGGCGTTAGGTTAGGCATCTCGTCAGACGTCAGGTTAGGCGTCAGGTTAGGCGTCAGGCTAGTCATCACGTTAGGCGCCCGTCGACGTCGCGGAGTTGACACAGCCGGCCTGACGCCGACACGTGCCCCCCGCATCTCCCCGTCACTGAGGAGACGGACGGACGACGGCCAGGGCAGGGACCGCTGCGATCCGACAACGCACCGAGCGATGTCGACCGATTCACGCCGGCACCGCCGCGCCTTTGATGTACAACTCACTAGCAGCTGTTCGTAACAGCGCTAATAGGCCCTTTACCAATCAGGGTTGGCGGCAGAACCGCATTCAGCGAAGGTTTGGGAAAATTGGGTCGAACTGAGGCCGCTGAGGCGGATCGCACGCACACACGCTGAAAGCGTCAGTAACACGATCATAGCGGGCGGACGGGAGCGTCGTTGTCTTGTGCCGCTCTGGCGCCAGAATGTGTGCCGATCCTCCGCTTGCATGACTGGCTGATTGGCCCAGCTAAGAGCTCAGCACCCATCGGCTGGGCAGGCCAGGACGCGCACGCACACTCGCGCGCGCGCACAGTACCCCCTCCCTCCCCACCAGCCCCAACACACACACACGCGCACACGCACGCACGCACGCACACACGCACGCACGTACGTACGTACGCACGCACGCATGCGCGCACATACCCACACTCAAACCCACACCCATACTTACAACCACACGCACACGCACACGCACACGCGCGCGCGCGCGCACACACACACACACACACACACACACACACACACACACACACACACACACACACACACACACACCACACACACACACACACACACACACACACATACATACACACACACACACACACACACACACACACACGCATTCACGCGTGGACACGTGACACGGCGCACCTGGTCGAAGATGATTATCTGCACGGAAATAAACGCAGCCGAGCAAACAGCCGAGCTATACGAGAGCCGTATCAGCGGGGCGCGTTCAAGGGCCCAGATTGGACTCGCTGACAGCAGCATGCTGGGCCATTTGAGCGCAGTGATTCACTTGAGGCCACTGTCCTCCCCTCCACTAATAGCCTCGTGCATCGATCTCGTCATTCCTTTCCGATCTCCTTTTCTCCTCTCAGTGGACGTGCCGCCATCGGGATCCACGGCGAGCCTGTCCTGGCTGACAGGCGGAGACACAAGCCCGTCCTCACTTTCCCGCAGGCGATGTCCACCGACAGTGCGGACGTACCAGAGTCGTCCACCCGGCTGACAGGCGGGGACACGAGCCCTCCCCCCCCCGCCCCCCCCCCCGCAAGAGACGTTCCCTCGTGTGAGGACGAACCGGCGTCGTCCAACCTGGGCGACAGGCGGGACACGAGCCTCCCCCCACCCCTCGCAGAAGACCGCAAACGTACCGGTGTCGTCCTGTTGGGCGGAGCGGTCCTGGCGCACGGGCAGCGAGCGGCCGGCCGCCAGCAGGTAGTAGCCGCCGATGGCGAGCACCAGCTCCGCGGCGTCGCGCTCGTCCAAGCTCAGCGCGACCCTCTGCCGACAGCGCCGGGCGCCGCTCAGACACGCGCCGACACGGGCCAGCCGACGGCAGGGTCACACAGACGGCGGCGGATGACAGGGCACGGCGCGACGTCCGAGCGGACCAGCAGTGACAGTGGCACGGCGTGATCGGTGTGTCAGCGGGTGGAACGGAGTTTACACTGGGTCACACGGCGAACAAGGAGTGATCTGACAGGCGTAGGAGGTACGCTCGAAGACGAACTATACGCACTCGTAGTGCTGTGGATACTAGATTCAGACCTCTGCAGCATTACGTGTGATGTGCACTGATACGACACCTATGAGTGACGACATGGGTGAGTGGTACGACACCTTCCGGTGGCGATTTGTGCGCAGCAGAAGAAGCCGAGGAAGGGTGAGCCCACTGCATTTAAAGGAGTAACGCGTGACCTCGGCCATCCAGCGCTGCGATCGCGTCGGGCGGAAGAGGGTGGGGAGAAAGGTGTATTGGTGTGTCGATTTGGAACACCCAGACCCTTGCTAGCATCGTCTACGCGGTTACGCTTAGTTTATATAAGATATAAATAGAAGATACTATATATATATATATATATATATATATATATATATATATATATTATAAATAGACGATAATTTCGCGTCATAGTTGTCACCAAGTGTTTTACGACATCATTGACGACCAATGCGCGATCGGAGACATTATTTCTCCCATGGGAGAAATAACTTCATCGATCAGCAAACAGCGTCAGACAGCAGTCATCGCCCTCATCGAGCCAGCAGCGATCACTGTGGTATGACGTGGCGTGCTCGGAGTGGCGACAGCGAGTGCCCGGAGTGGCGACAGCGAGTTCGCAGTTTGTCCGAAAGACAGAAGATAACCCCACCACTCACCGGCTTTTCCGGATCCTTCAAGATCAGCTCCACGCGGCGCGAGAGCTCGTGCTCCCGGGTCACCTCCAGCTCGGCCAGGTCAGCGACCTCGCACAGCGCCACCGGCTGAAACAGCGGCACGGCACGCTTGGTGACGAGCCAACGTGACGCAAAAGTAGAATCTCACCATTCAGCGCTTGGAGTCTTTTTTAGAGATTTAGTCCAAACGCTCTGATTGGGGATTTTTGGGTTCAGCGCCACGCCAAGCAGTGCTTGCTGCGTGAGTCCTGACCACAGAGCACTCGATGTCTTGTTTATTTTTGGCACGAGAGACAATGATTTCAACACTGGCTTGTATGCACGCGGTGGTGTCGCCGACTGTGAAGACGTGGCAGACACCGGGCTTAGACTTTGTACGGAAAAGGGCAAGCGACAGCTGAGAATGTGTCTGCGACAAAGCACTACGCCACTAGACATGTCGCCCTGCAGGCCCAACGCATCGTGCGAGTTGTCTTCGCTGTTGCCAATAATCTGGCGGAAACTCAGACGGCCTGCCTACATTACGCGCCACCGACAGATCCGTGACCGAGGTACCCAGTCCAGCAGTATCTCACCCCGAGCGTTCACTATTCCGCGCCCGCTGTCCACACGGCCGGTGGCCTCTGCCCCAGGCCCGTTAGAACCCCTCCCCCTCCTCGCGGGGTGTCCACTCCGCGCGTCAGCTGACCCCATTAACGCTGCCTCGCTAGCTCGGTCACGTCCGCGCCAAAGCCGCGCGGCGTTACCACGGAGCCGCTATATCCTGCCGGCGTTACCACGGAGCCGCTAAGGCCGCGCTGCCGATACAGGGCACGCCATGCCCGCCACCGCCTCCAGGGGAGCGCGTTAGTGACCCGCCGGCCGCCGCGGCTGAGCCGGCCGGGCTCAGGCCGGCGCGTGGGGGTCATGGGGTTAGGAGCCGGCCGGCCCAGCCCCACAGGGCGGCGGCGGCCGTGTGTGCCCGTGCCGCTCTCCGGCAAACAGCCATCCTCAGGGGACCGGCCGGCCTGCGCAGCGGACGTAATGGAGAGGCCTCCGGTGCACATGAGACACGCCGATCAATGCAGCCTGCCTCACAGACCTCACAGCGGCGCCGGTCCAACAGGCACGCTACACAGAGGCCTGCCGGCTGTCAGCGCCTCTCCTAAATGCGCGGTTCTGTCCGGCCGCACCGTCCGAACAAATGACGGCTTGTGCAGGCGGGGTGATGATTTGGGCCTTTTTGATGAAGTTCTACTGGTGATGGGTGCGCGCAGGCCAGCTGCTGGGTGCAACAGAGGGACGTTGAGCGGCTTTGGCTGCGTCTTCAACCTTTCACAGACGATGCCTTAAGACACGACCATGCGCTCGCATCTGGTCCGCAGACGCCTTTTGCAAGCCCACTGTCGGAACTGGAACCACGAGCCTACTGCTGTTCGTGTGACCGGAACTCAGCAGCGCTGGTCATATCGCGCCGACAGCGTGGAGCCACGCGACCCAGACGGGTGTCAGGTCTACGACCTCAAACATGGCCCCAGGTATATGGAGCCCTCGTCCTACAATATATGATTGTATGCTTGACATATCTGATCATTGGATCGTTGAATGTGCATGCCCTCGATAAATCTACCATGCGTTATGGAACCTCCTTTCCCCGGGCGTCCATCATGCGCAGCTCATGCATTACGAATCGCACTGCCAGGTACACACCGCCAATCACCTCCGAAAATCGCCCGTCTTATGTCCACCATTAAACGTCGGGCATAAGCAAAGTACGCCCGGTTAATCACGAACAACACGAGCCCATTCTCACGCCACAGACCGGAACAGCACCGGGCCCCCTCCCAGCCGAGCCCATTCCTGTGGCTCGGCCGCCAGCGCCGGCGATAAGTACGAGCGGGGAAGGGTTCATTGTCGAACTTGCCCAGTTAACGATCCTGTGCACACCACCAAAGTTTGCTGGCCTACTTCCGCCGTTGGCTTCCGCCTGGAGGGGAGCGGTGGGGGAGGGGTGGGGCGGCAACGAAACCCGCGCCGCAGCGTCTGCTAGTTCTTGCTTTCCTAACAGAGGCGGCATAACGGGTGTGTGGGGAAAGAGGCTTCTGACGGGAAAGCAGAGCAAGTGACCCACACGACACATGAGACGTGGAGCTTGGTACGTGGGAGGAAGCTGCCGGACTTTTGGTAACCGTCTCCTTAATACCACGGAGCTTTAAGGTCATGCTCAGCCAAACGACCCCTGACATAATCTAATCTAACAAGAACATGGATCTCATGAGCCACTGGTTTATATCAGCAGCTGCTATCCGGCGCGCTGCAGTGGAATGAGTCCGTCGCCGACTCGCGTCCTGCCGCGCGAGACTCTTCCCGAAGCGATGGCGCAGATCTCTCGCCCACTAGCTGCCGTCGCGGCCACCTGGAGCGCCTACGACCCTGTCTGCCGCCTACCTCATGAGCGGGCGCGGCGTCCGCGCGACGTCGGCGTCGTCCCACAAGCGCGCCATCGATCGCCGCCCACTCACCGAGCTGCTCTTCAGGCTGTTGATCTGGCTGATGCCGAACTTGGGGCTGACCAGGATCACCGTCTCCATGCTGGACTCCTGCAGCAGCGAGGGCCGAGTCAGCCTCGCACGCGGCCGCTGCCGGCGGCGCGCCGCCCAGCGCGCGGCCCAGCGCAAGGCCCGGCGCGAGGCCCAGCGCGAGGCCCGCCCCCCGGGAGTCGTATAATCGGCTCGCAGTCGGCCGTCTCATCAGTGGTGCGGATGCTGAGCCACCGCCGCCCCGCCGGCCACTCCCGCCGGCCGGCATTATTCGCCGCCGCTCGGTAAACAGGGATCGGTCGACGGGCGACAGTCTCGCGGCCAAGCTCGCGACAGTCAGCTCCAGCGGACGCGGCGCGCTCATTGTCAACGGGCGCTCGGTGCACTCGCGAGTGCTGCGCTGGCAGGAAATACCCGTGCCTCCGCACCCGAGGCGTTGCCTACTGACGAGGAGGCCCGGAGGACAAAGGTAAAGGTCACTGTAAGATCAGTGGGCACGGCTACTCTATCCGTGGGCGTGGAGAAAGAAAAGCGAGGGGGAAGAGTCCAATGCCACCGCGAGGCGTCCCACGTCCCGCACTGTCTACAACCACATCTTTCAGATTCATTTGACTTCCTCCCCGCGCAGGAGAACCGCAGAACCGAACACTCAGCCACGCCTTCCTGGCCCAGACTCTGGCGTCCTTAGGCCGGGGTCAACGTCTGCAGCTGTCTCGCTTACCCCGATGTTGGTGGTGAAGCACTTGGCGCCGTAGCTGGGCAGGTCGGAGATGATCTTCAGGTAGTGCAGCTTGGCCTGCAGCGCGGTCAACTGCTTCTGTCCGGGCGCCACCAGACTCTGGTTCAGCTTCAGGAAGTGCGCCAGCAGCTTCCGCAGCTCCTTCCGCTTCATGGACTCCACCAGTGAGACGGGCAGGAACCGCTCCAGGCCGAACTCCCGCCTGAGGAGGACAGAAGCGATGTCACTGGGGGGGGGGGGGGGGGGGTCACTTTACACTGAACTTCTCCCTTCGAAGCGCACCGTTCTGCCGCAGTCACCTAGGGCCTCCTGTCGGCATGAAAGGGGCTCGATGGCGCCGGCCCGGTCGACGCTGCGTCGCTTCCTGCCGATTCAATCCATGCAGTCAAAGGCGGAGCTACTTTAGCCGACCCACACATCCGTCAGGGTGTTAAATGATCGGCTCGGACAGCAAACCGACAAGACCATGCATGTTGCACACAATCCGGTCGAAACGCAAGGATATTTTGGCAATTTTACCGACACCGAACGGACTTTAAAATACGGGTGCCATGATACATAATTTGCTGTCATGGCACGTTTTCCCTTCCAAGTGTAAATCATGTAAAAATGGCAGACGAACGGGGCTTAGGGCTGCCGGCGAGTTCTTTGGCAGTGACACTCATACGTGTCAGAGTATCACATATCTGGAGAAACCGCATTCCCGAAGGGTTAGGAGTCCTCATTTGCATCACTTGGTGAGTGCCGACGCCGTCAGTAAAGGATAATGTTACCACAAACGGCTGGCGGTTACAGCGCACGATAAGCCATTCGTCAGCATCAAGAGCTTAGTGTAGAACTCGCCAATCTTAGGCGAGGGAGTGATAAACGGCTCCAAACATGGCAACGAGATGACAGATATCTCCCAATAAATCCACGCCATGGCGGTAGAACATAGCGGATTTTATTGACCTCAGAGGATCACGAGAATGAATTTCACAGCTATATCACGATAAGCCTACTAAAACCCATCTACCATCAAACCGTCGGCCAACGGAGCAACACATTACACAGACAGGCCACGAGAAAACCTGAAAACCCATTTCAATCCCGCTCTCTCCCGCATCTTCCCTCCCTCCTCTTCTATCTGTCGCCGCGTCTGCCTCCTCTCCCCGCCCGCCACCCTCCCCCACCCCCACGCAGCGGCGGCACGCGCTCATTGTTTGCAGGCGGCCGTCGCCAGTGCAGTGCGACTGCCCGATCGGACGATAAACCGCGCGCCGTCGCCGTCGCCGGCGGCGGCGCTCGAGGCCGCTGCTGTCCGCCGCTTCCCGAAGCGCGTCGCCCGGCATCCTCCGCGGCGTCGGCCACCGCCGGCGACGGCACCGAACAACCCAATCGATCGTCCACTCGCCGCCGCCGCCGCCAGCGTCGCTCCTAAACACCGCCGGCGGCGTCATACCGTCTGTGCCGCCGGCCGGGGGGCGGGGGCGGGGGCGGCGGGAGGGGCGACGCCGCGGGTCTGCGACGCGCCGGCCTGATTAACCAGCCGTCGGCGGCAGTTCATTAATGGCTGTCGCCAGATGCGGCCTGGCCTCAGGTGGCCCGGGGGAGGGCCGCAGCTGCCGGCCCGTCACGCGGGCCCGGCGCCCTAGTGGCCGGGCCTGGTGACGGCGCCCTGGCGGCCGGGTGCAGGCGGCGGCACGTGACAGAGTCGAGCTGGTTCGCGGCGGAGCTTAGGCTGGCCGGCGCAGGGCCTCCGTTTGCACCGCCACAGAGTTCTCAGGTGTTTCCGCAGCAGGCTTGCGTGACACGGATTCAGCTGATGTTTGACAGCGTTCCCAGCTGGCTGGTGACGATCCCAACAGCTGGCCTCCGGCAGGTGTATGTATGCTGTCAGCCGGCCTTTGACAGCACCTCACCTTCGGATCAACTGTTTTCGCGCGCATATTGGTACTAGAAACGAGCATCTTCAGAGTTAAGATCATCGGTGTTTTCAATTTCCCTTCCTTTCAAGTGTGTTAGCTTTTGTGGAGTGCTCTTCAGCCGTTCTGTTTTACAGCACCTCGATGAGAGGTGGCACGACTACGTACTCGCACCCGGAAGGACGGCGGCCAGTTTTTCCAAACAACACAAATCTCTCGGGACATGCAAAAACTCCACGTTGAAAAACGAAGTGCCAAACCAAACGGATCGCCACGAATAGAACGCGCGATTCGCAGAGCCCAACCGCGTCCTGTCCCGGCAGACAGGACTCAGACGGCGCCGCGCCCGACCTCCGGCGCTCCGCCCCGACCACCTCCGTCTCTCCCCCGCCGGCGGCGGCGGGGCGTTCCCCAACGGCCGGGCCGATGGCAGAATTGATGGCATCGGCGGCGGCGGCGCTGCCCTGGAGCGGGTCCGACCACGACCCCGGATCTGGCGCAAAGCCCCCTGCCTTATCTGCATGCGGCACTGGGCGGCGCGGCTTGGCGTTTGTCCCGGCACTGGCGGAAGGGCTCGGGCCGAACTGCGGGGCACGGCGGCGGCGCCGGGGCGGGCGGCGTGGCGTTGATCGGCACGCGGGATTGCGCGGAACGATAGCAGGCAATGGGGCTGCCGGGCCGGCTGTTGGGATTATCGGAAATGCAGCTGGCAATCGGTGGGGTGTCGGGCTGCACTAGCGTCTACGAGTGTAACAGCGTCAGCCCTTATTGGAAAATGGCTTGACAAGGCCGGAACCGGGCAGCGGTTCTCAATCATTGTCGCCCCACCCCCCCCTCGAACCATCCCCTGGGAAACGGTCCCAACAGAAGCAGACATACCAATCGACCATCTTCCCCCAGAGGGCGCCTGTGTGGCGTTCGAGACATTTCGCATTCCCCGACCGACAGCCGAACCGCAGCCAGATCCTCGGCTCCTTTCATCGCCGGTGCCGCTGCAGCCTCGTCGCTCCAGGCGGCGGCGAGCAGACGCGCGACGCACGCGGCGCCTCTGAAGCCCGCCAGAGCCGGCCGGCCGACGGCGCGGCGCCGGCGGCGACGGCGGCCCAGAAGAGGCGCCGGCGCCAGTGACCCTGTCAGAGCACAGCCACCGGCGCGAGTCGCCGTCGCCGTCCCATTAATCGCCGCGGCTGATCGTCAGGTAAACAGATCGCCTGATAAATTGCTCTGTCTCCACGAGCCGACCGGCTTCCTGCCGCCGAACAAACAGCGGCGGCGCCCCGGGCCGCCGAGCGCGATCAACTAATGAGGCGGATTAGGCCGGTGGCTCGACGCTAATTCGCGGCCGACGATCGGCCCAAATGAGGCCCGGCCCGGCCGGCTAGGCTCGGCTCGGGCGCTGCGTGGCCGGCGGTCGCTGCTCTGGGATGAGGGTACGCGTCAGGCCGCGCCGGTGGCGATCGGTGTGATGGCGTGAGCTTGGAGAGATATGATGCGATGGTGTGAAGTCGGGAGAGACATGGCCCGATGGTGTGAGGTCGGGAGAGACATGGCGCGATGGCGTGAGGTCGCGAGAGACATGTCCCGATGGTGTGAGGTCGGGAGAGACATGACCCGATGGTGTGAGGTCGGGAAAGACATGGCCCGATGGTGTAAGGTCGGGAGAGACATGGCCCGATGGTGTAGGGTTGCGAGAGACATGGCACGATGGTGTGAGATCGGGAGAGCGGTGAACACAATGGTGTGAGGTCGGGAAAGACATGGCTCGATGGTGCGAGGTCAGGAGAGCGGTGGCGCGATGGTGTGAGGTCGGGAGAGCAGTGGCGCGTTTGTGTGAGGTCGGGAGAGCAGTGGCGCGATGGCGTGGGGTCGAGAGAGCAGTGGCGCAATGGTGTGAGGTCGGGAGAGCGGTGGCACGATGCTGGGGCACCAGACAGATGGCGGCGTCGGTGACGGGATGAGGGCTCGTGTTAGGCCTCGCCGGGTCCATCGGCGTGATGGCGTGAGGTCGGGGGAGAGATGGCGTGACGGCGAGGCGATAGACAGGCCGCGGCGGCGACGACCGGATGCATTATAAGCAGGGTTCGATCGGGAGGGCCAGGAACTGTTCGGCGGTGGTGCTCGAGTCACGCAATCGGTAGTGGGAGAGGAAATGGCGCAGACAGGTCTATAGGATAGGATATTGTATATATAAATTGCGTTAATTGCGTATGAAGGTTGTTGAGAGATGAGCAACATTTTTCTCATACTGAATCCCCGTTTTGTTTTCAATTCGCACAATCAAACGCTCAACATTCTTGTTTTTGTGACGGGCGCTATGACACTGTGATCCACCAAATCATATTCCTTCGAGCTTTCGAACCGGTATTTCTGCACGTTAGTTACCCCATCGCCGATCAATACAGCGTTTGCCTGCTTATCAGAACCCTGCTAGTCGCTCCAATCTACGGCGACTGCTTGGCCAGAGGTCGGCAGAGGTCACCAGAGGCCACCGGGCCACACGGGGTCAGCGGCGGGCTGCCCAGCACAGCAGCGCCGACAGCTGAGTCGGGCCAACACCCGCGGGAGGGCCCATCCCGCCACAGTCGGGCAAACAACCGGGCATTGTGTCTGCAGCGCCCGCACCGGCAGAGGATACCATTACCATGTTTGTCGGCGGCGCTACGTGAACAGGCCACCGTCGCGGCAGCAATGGCGCAAGGAGGCGGTGCTGATGCGAAAAAGAGATGGGGGAAGAAAATAAATGAAAAGAGGCAGAGATAAATCCACAAGATGCTCCGTGACGTCACAGTGCAAAAATGCAAAACACAAAGTGAAAAAGACTAAATAGAGATGGATAATTTGCAACTACCGTAAGTCCGTAGCATGTGTAGGGAAGCCCCAATGAGCTGTGCGAGGCATCGAGCCTAATGCTCCCCGTGTAAAACATTCCTAACATCCGTAAACACAGTCCAACGCAAATGAAGCAAACCTCACCAACCCTTCGCTCTCAGCCGGGGCAGCCTCGTGTGCGCCGGCCTTTCCCGTCGTCCGGCTGCTCCCATTCCGGCGCGTAGTCCGCCGGGGGCATTTAGATTATCCCGCGCGCACTTCTGGGACCGGCGGCGACGGCTGTGCATTAGCGGAATTACCGCGCGGCTGGCACGGCCGACTCACTCAATGTTTTTGACGGTGATCTTGCCCTGCAGATTGTTGGAGAGCGCGTGCTGGTGCACGTGCAGCGCTGCCAGCCGTAGCGCGATGTCGTACTTCAGCTCGGGTGCGAACCGCTCCTGCACCACGTCCGTGCAGCACTGCCAAACGGGCGGGCGCGTGGTCACGACAGGCGGCGGCCGGGGGAGACGCAGCGGCACGGGATGGCAGGCGGAGCTGAAGGTGGTGCTGTAGCAGTGGTGGTGAGCGAATTGGGGTGGTTTCCTGAGTGAGGGGACGCACGGCGCATTGCAGCTTTTGGAACAGACAAACGCTTAAAAGAGGTATGGGCGTAATCGAGTCAAACGCAGAAGTACAATGTTTTTGTCCGCTTCTTCCGTCAATTTTGCACTTCAAGTGGTGACAGGCTGTGAAGACATTTTTAATGCAGATCTTTGTAAATATACAACTCGAGATGTCGTTGAGACACGCTCTGGAACATATAACCGGAAAAGAGTAATGAAGCTCCCTGCGTTCACGCTACCAGCGATCGCACATAACTGCCGCGCTCCAAACCTCTTTTCCCCGGCGAAACACGGGGCGGACAGGTTACGACAACACACGGCAGCTCACTGGAAGCCCTCGACAGCTCGTGTGACGTCACCACACGGCGACACCGAATCGGCGAGCACACACAGACGGAACAGGACTGGCAGAGTAAACTGGTGCGGTGACAGAGTCGGCGGCAGGCCGGCGGAGCCGCTGCTCACCGCGAACATCAACACCAACAGCCGCCGTCTGTACAAACACCGCCATGACTCCACCCCGCTCAGACCGATGCACGCGGCTGGAGAAGGGCTAATGTGAGTTGGCACGGCGCCGCCGACGGCGTGGGGTGGAGGAGCTGTCCGGCCAGCATGGCTCGGTGGGCGGATCAGACGCAAGGATCGCTGCCATAACGGTCAGGGGGCGAGCGGACGTCGGACCAGGAGGCACCAACGGGAAGATGTGGTGTTGTAGAGATCTGCAACCGCTCTGCCCCTCCGCTAAAAATGGTCCGGCACGTGAACGGCGGATGGCGGCTCGTTGTTTCATAAGGTGGTAAGCCCTTCATGAGTCATCACCAGGAGCGGCATATCTGGGAGGGATCTTCCGGGCGCAGACACGTGTCTTGATTTCACCACTAGCCCCATTACTGTAATGGGCTCAAACATCTCGAGCCGGCAGGATAACTCAGAGATGTCTGGCAATAAAACGCCTCAGCGCCTGTACAAACGCGGCTTGATCTGCAAAATCTCGCCTTGAAATCAAAACTCTAAGGCTGGTCGCGTGTAAGATGAATGGTTTCAGAGTCTGTACTCCAACACGGGACGCTTCAGATGACTAGCGAATGGCGTGAGTCCGGCAACAAGCACCACCGCCGGGCACAAACACATCAGACACGGAGATTTCGACTCGGTCACTTGCTGGCGGATTGATTTCCGGAATGTGGGGAGTTTTTCTGCATTTATTTGAGTCGCAAGTCAGCGTGTCGTAAGAGCATCTGACTGTGCTCAGACTTAATAAATAACTAAATTTATCACACAAATACACCAATGCATACCCGAGTATACACGTACACATACACATAGGTACAGACAAACGCATCCGCACTCCGCAGAATCCACCCTCCTCCCTCCCCCCCCCCCCCCCACGCGCCGACCACTCACCTGTACGTAGAGGTACTCAAACGCCACGGAATCCTTGCGGAGCAGCTCGTAGGCGTCACGGGGTACGAACGTGACCCGGAACAGACAGCGCAGGTGCCGGGCGCCGGGCCGGGCAGCAATCTGGCGAGGGGGCACCGGGACAGGTCAGTGGCGCTGGCCCGGGTCAACGGCACGGACACGAGTGTGACCCGGAACAGACAGCGCAGGTGCTGGGCGCCAGGCCGGGCAGCAATCTGGCGAGGGGGCACCGGGACAGGTCAGCGGCGCTGGCCCGGGTCAACGGCACGGGCACGAACGCACGGACACTCGCGGCCATGCTGTCTATTGACGCACGTGAGTCGAGTAGGTTTTCACGCCTATGTTAGAGCAGGGCGGTACGCGCGCGGCTGCCAGAGTTCTGTTACGACAAACTGCCTCAAGAGTCAGCGCACGTGCGTCCTTCTGTGCAGGACCCGGGGTCACCGAACGGTGACGTGGAGTACTACAGGGCGACGGCATGCGACATGCGGATCGGTCCGCCTCCAGACCGTTTGTGCAGACAATAATCACAATGTAGATCACATTCTTTTTCGGTCAGATCCACCCTCGTTGTACTAAGCAAACACAGCCTAGATTAGCTTGAGTACACGGCGGGGCATGCCAAATTCAAAACATATACCACATACCGGCAAACACAACTTCAAGCCGACAAAGATTCGGTTAACTATCTTGTGCAGTGAGGTGTATATCGGCACGTGGTATGCGTCCACCGTGTACACGTGCGGTGTGGAGTGTCACACGGCGCGTAACGGAGCGACGCCGTGGGGACTTCCTCCGTGGAGCATGCTTTTTGTCGTGTCTCGCGTATGTCGGGGAAAGGAGGAACAAGCACTGCGTTTAGGACAAAAAGGCCTCCCGTCAAAAAAAAGAACCGCCTGGAAGAAAAGGCTGTCTCGCCACAACCCTTTCAACAACTGATAAGACACGAACAGAAGAAGGCCGTCAAGAGACCAGTGATGTCCAGTGCGATCCAATGATGTCTAGTGATGTCCAGTGATGTCCAGTGAGGACCAGTGATGCATACCGCATGCCCATCCGGATACGGACAGGCAACATTGATGAAGTGAAGCATAATAAAGTGTTATGCCATTATAAATGTTCCCATGGATTCCAGGATACTAAAGGAAATCAGCACAAACCAAAAACCTTTTAAAACTTCTTTTTTAGAAGAGGTCCTTTCATGAGCATCTCAACTCATCTCAGGCTTCGCTACACTGAAACCACCTGAACAGGCTGCAATAACTCACGGGCGCGCACGCGCAAAAACTGACGTAAAGAGGTCACGCGACGCTATTGGCATCCAAAACACCGAAACAGATCCCAGCCCAGTGATAGATCGTAGACGGCGGGGGGGGGGGGGCGAGCAGCCATGTTTTTGTGTTCTCACGTTATTCACACGATCTCATCTTCTGCGGTGTTCCGCAGGCGGCTGGCGCGGGCTGCTGGCGCTGACAGCGGTCTGTTTTTCCAACCTGCTTCCGCGCCCGATTCCTTTTATTGGCTCAGCATTTATAATCTGAATGTTTGGACTGGAAAGGCTCGCCTGATTTCTCCCAAAGCGATGGGTTGTGTTGCCAAATTTGCCGGTGTTTTCCGCCGGTGAGAGCATCAAAGAAAACATCATTCCGGGCGGCAGTCCTTCATTTGGCCGGCTTCCTTTGATGGCACGCTCAGCGGGTAACTGCCATCCTGTAGCGGCTGCCTGCCTGCCTCAGTCGCCGCGCAACAGCTTAATTCTCCGCCCGCAGCCCCATCGCGCGACCAACGACGGCTGAAAGCGGCTTTTCATAGCCGGACGCGTCGTCCAATACAATCCGGCCGCCGAACGGATCAGATTGAGCCCGACGGGCGACGCCTCCCTCCACCCCCTCCCGCACGGCACAAATACAAGCGAGCGCATATCAATCGGGAAGCCTGCCCAGGCGGTGCACGCTCCCCCCCCCCCCCCCACCCCACCCCCATTTCGCCCTCCTGTGGGCTCATATTGGCCGTGGTCGCGAGAGAACGAGACAGCAGCTGACGAAAAACGCGGCGGCCGACGCCAACGCAAGCGACCCCCGCGCGGCCGGGTAAACAGGCGGCGGCGCCGGCGCCCTGGATCCAGGATCCCGGGTCCCCGGTTTGCGATCCGTCACATTCATGGAGCGTTTAGTCGTATCGGATGAGCGCCGGCCGGCGTCGCGCCGGCCAATCTGCGACGAGGCGGATGACGGATTCGCCGGCTGATGACGAGGGACCGGCCCACGCCGCCGCCGACGAGAGCGCCGCCCGGGCGGCCGGCGGGGGACGGCCGACGCGGGGACGGTCAAGACAGAAAGTAAGGGACGGCAGTCAGAGGAGGGAGATGTGGAGGGAGGACAGTCAGAGAGGAGAGAGGTGGAGGGAGAACGGTCAGAGAGGAGAGAGGTGGAGGGAGGACGGTCAGAGGGAAGAGAGGTGGAGGGAGGACGGTCAGAGAGGAGAGAGATGTGGAGGGAAGACAGTCAGAGGAGAGAGAGAGAGATGTGGAGGGAGGACAGTCAGAGGGGAGAGAAGTGGAGGAAGGATGTCCAGGGGAGAGAGATGTGGAGGGAGGACCGTCAGAGAGGAGAGAGTTGAAGGGAGGATGGCCAGATGGAAGAGAGGTGGAGGGAGGACGGTTAGAGGGGAGAGATGTGGAGGGAGGACGGTCACAGGGGAGATAGGTGGAGGGAGGGCGATTAAAGGGAACCCAATTGGACTGCGAACGGTCGGGAGAAAGGAGACGATGGGAAAGACAGAGGAAACATGCAGAGGTACGGACGATGGAGAGAGGTCGGATTTCCAAGGGGAAAAGGGGTGACTGTGGCGCAAAGTAGGCGGGAGGTCGGGCTGGAAAGGGAGGGTCTACGAACAAGGCTCGTTTTGAGGATGGCAAAACGAAGGTTCGGAGGTGGATAGGACACCTGACAGGGAAGATACGATATGGACATAAGTTGTAGACATAACTGGGGACATAGATAAATGTGACAGGTTTGTCTTTTCGTCAACATCGTAGTCGTGAATAATTATGCTGTTACCTATCCTCAGATATTAAGTGGAAATCTCCTTGTTTTGGAAGCGATTTGAACGAAGTGCTTACCAATACTTACATTTGCATTTAAGACCTCACAGATAGGAGAATCAGCCAACTACTTAACGAAAAGATGCAAACGGGCCAAGGGAGGAGACGATAGAACATTGGGAGGTAAAAGTTCAGGTAATGGAAGAGCAGAACACAAAACTAACAGGACGAAATATCCGAATCACAAACAAAGTCTCCTCAGGAAGTGGACTCCAAACCCTGCAAGCACCGGCCTGAGCGTACATCCGCCCCAGCTGCTGCCAGTGCGTGACCAAGCCGCTCCACGCCGCTGGCTCCGACAGGGCTCAGGACTGAATCAGATGCTACGCCTGACCCAGTGGCGGACTCAGACCGCCACGGGGGGGTATCGGGTCAATAACTGGGGTGAAGATCACGGGTCTCGCAGTGTGAATCAGCCCGGCACATTGACGGCAGCGAGCGCCTTGCTCAGCAACGACCGCGGGATGCTGCTGATGATGGTGTTGTTCGGACTGTCGCGGCCGCCGGCTCGTCTATTCAACCATGGCGGCTGCCACTGGCGACCAGCCAGATGAATGCTGTCGCTCTCGAGAGGCTGTTCATAATAGCACGGAAATGAGCTTTGTGAAATTGCCATTGTTGGTTGGGCCGCCAGCACTCGGGATCTGCGTCCCACAGCCTGCATGCGTCACCGCAGCCGAAACAGTCCTCAAATGATAGATAGAAGAACACGGAGAGGGAAAGCGCAGAACTAAGTCAGACATCAGTCGCTGAACTCAGGCGTTTTGTACGGTATGACTGTGTACAAACGCCGCGGGCATGCGGGCAAGACGTCACGCGACAGCTATTCACCCTGGCCAGCGTCTCCTTGTTGTCCAGCAGCGTCAGCTTGTTTCTGCGCACGGCGTTGACGTGCTCGGCGACGATGCTGAAGTGCTCGACGCAGTGGATGCCGAGCTTGGCCTGCAGCGACTCCAGCACGTCCTCGACGGTGGTGGACGAGTCGTACTTGAACGACTTGGTCTGGCCGTTCTCCAGGAAGACCTTCAGCACGTTGGGCATGAACGGGATGCACGACTCCTCGGAGGAGAACGGCGACAGCTGCGGACGGAGGGCAGCCAGCGGTCAGGCCCTGGTCGTCGGCGGAGAGCGCTGCCCGGGACCGACGATCCAGTCAAAGCTCACGCCGCTCCGCGAGCATCGATTCGTGCGCGGCTAATGGAATCAATAAGATGAGCTCGGGGTCACCGCAGCACTTTAGATAAACGAAAGCTGTGTGCAGTCCACTGAGCCACTCGGTCATAACAAGCAATATTGTGAAATTTTTCGTCTTACTTTTTTAAACTTTTTTTTTAAAACTTTAAACTTTTCAATTAGTTGTATGCACGTTTCCAATTTGCAGTCGTCATCCGATTTAAGGAACGTCGGTGATTCTTGCGCCGAACATTCGGTGGAACTGCTCGGCATATCGGGGCGCTTGAGTGCGATGCTAGCTCGGCATATCGGGGCGCGTGAGTGCGATGCTAGCTCGGCATATCGGGGCGCTTGAGTGCGATGCTAGCTCGGCATATCGGGGCGCGTGAGTGCGATGCTAGCTCGGCATATCGGGGCGCTTGAGTGCGATGCTAGCTCGGCATATCGGGGCGCGTGAGTGCGATGCTAGCTCGGCATATCGGGGCGCTTGAGTGCGATGCTAGCTCGGCATATCGGGGCGCTTGAGTGCGATGCTAGCTCGGCACATCGGGGCGCTTGAGTGCGATGCTAGCTCGGCATATCGGGGCGCTTGAGTGCCGTGCTAGCTCGGCATATCGGGCGCATGAGTGCGATGCTAACTGCCGACATACGCACGTCTAGATGTATGTGCGTTGGACCTCTTTTTGAAACAGTGCACGATATGTAGGTAAAACATTTCACATAAAGCAAATACAGACCATATTTCACACGCTGCAAACATCAATTGACATATAATTCCAGCAGGAAACTTATCAAACTGGGGCACTCCAAAACAACCGTCTCTTGCGAGTCGAACGGCGCCGATAAAGTTTGATCTAGCACTAACTCCCAGTCCCCGTCCGAGGCGAAAGGCCGACACCTCAACGCAGCTGATAAAAAGCGGCGGTCCCAAGAACTGCCCCCACCCCGAACAGAAAATAAAAAAACTCTTCCATCTCTCTGTCGGCCTAGTCTATCACCAAGCGGCTGGAGGACCGCTTGTCCCAGGCCTGTTCCTAGCCTGTCCTCCATCGGCAGCCCCCTTCCCTCCCCTCTCACGTTCGACTGGCCGTTGACGACGACGCCCTCCGCGAAGCGCACGCGCGATGGGTTGCTCTTGAGGCGCAGCTTCTTGGCGGCGCTGAGGAGCGCCGACTTCCGGGCCGTCTGCGGGCCGAGGTCTCGTTACGGACTTCCGGTGACGCCGAATCAATTCAGTTAGCGGATCAAAGGCAGGGCGCCCGGCCGGCGGCGGACGCCTCGGGCCACCACGCAGCCGACGCCAGGTTTAGCCGCTAACATTGTTAGGCTGTTAGGACTGGGTGCTCGCAAGCGGGCCAGATTGAAATCGATGCGTCGAGTTATTGAATCAGGGGCGGGGACGGCTGCGGTATCCGGACGGTGACGAGGCGGGGGGCAGAAGGTCGGGAGGGGACAAGGTGAGCTCGGCAGCTCGAGGAATGTGGACCACAAACACTGGCTGAGCTTGATTGCACGCAGGCGTGCGGCACAATTGTCCCCGATCCGCAGGTGATGCAGAGATCGCCTCCGAGACTGCGGCTGCCGTGATGGCATACTGGAGTAACCGCGTTTGCATGTATGGGGATGGAAACAGCTTCCCGAACCAATGTCGCTTTTAGTCCCACGTTGCCTGTACGGTAGGCTTAGCGACACAGTCAAGTGGCAACAGTGACAGACAAGATGCGGGGACTCAACAAGCCTGCTGCCATGCCAACACATACCCGACCTCCGCCTGAGACCAACTCTATTACTCAGCCTTGCTTCTACCCCTTCTCCCCCCTCCTCCCCAAACACCGGTGTCAACCTCTGCCCTCTGACGTCACCGCCGGTGCGCTGACGTCATTACTCACATTGTCCAGCGGCGGCTGGCAGACGAGCAGCGAGACCTCCTGCTGACACGACCTGACCCGCTGGATGACCTGGTCACGCGGCGCCAGCTTAACGTCCTCGCCGTTGATCTGCCAGATCTGGTCGCCGGGCATGAGCTTATCCACGCTCGGGCCGCCATCTGTCACGAACCTGTCAAATCGGCCGTCAGTCACAAACCTGTTAAATCAGCGAGACGCCACCGGGGACGGGTTCGGAAGGAGGCGCGCGGACGGCCGTCTGGCAGCCGCCGCCGAGCCACGGAACGTCCGCCGCCGACTCACACACGCGCGCCCGCGGGCCGATTCAGCGCCTTAGTCACCGCCACGGCTGGGACGCACCACGATGACGTCACGGTGCGCCGGAGAAGCGAGTGCGGTCCGGGCCGGTAGGCACCTCCGGCAGCGCCAGCTCCGGCGTATGCAGATTACCCAGCTATTTCCGCTTCCGGGACGCAGCCTCCACCAATAACAACGTCCCGTTAATGCACGTAAAACGTCGGAGGGTGCTCGGGCCGCGCTCATAAACAGGCCCGCTGCAAAGTTGTCGGTGTTATTGACGGCACAGTGGCGGGCCATCCCGGCCACCGAGGGAGATCCACCCCGACATCGACCGAGGCCACTCGCGAAGCGCGCGAAGCGGGCGCGCGCGCTCGTGCGACCCCTCACCACAACAGCGGAGAGGATCCGCTTCCTTCAGCGACGCGCACGTTCGGCGCGGGAGTCACGATTTGGCGGGCCTGAGTCAGCCCCGCGAGCCGCTGAGCCGTCCGCTGACAGCGGTGCTCTCCGCCGGGCCACAGATGGACGCCATTTGTAATCAGTTAGCGAATAATTGCGGCTGGGATGTGATACGACGCTGACGGCCGGGGCGCCGCGGCGAGGCAGAAATTACACGGCGATTAATTCCCGGACCCGTCAACCAGCGAGAAATTGTTTTCCGATCCGCGGTAAATACGCGAGCGAGACACTCGCAATCTGGAGCGCGCTGTCGACACTCATAAACGCGGAGAGCGATGCTCTGATTGGCTATCTCCATTCAAATGACTTTCTGGCCCACGTAATCGAACTCGTGCGCCTCGGGCGGCGACTTAGTACCGTTCGCGGGCGCACGGTTGCGGACAGACGTGAAACACTGACGAAAGACGAAAGACGTGACCAAAGACGTGACGTGACCGGGCACCGATCCCACGGCACGGCTATGGCCAGCGCGCCGCGTCGCCGCCACGGCCAGCTCGCCGGCAGGTGCGCCGCGGCGACTTTGAGCAGCAGGCGCAGGGCTTAGCGCCAGGGACGGGCTCGGGACTTTTGGTGGGGTAGGAGCGCGGCGCAAACCGCGGCCACCGATCCGGCGTCTGTTAAGGGATGTACATAAACCCGAGCCGCACCGCCGCAACGGCGTGGCGCACGTGCCTCCCCTTGCTGCAGTCTCTTGCACACGCCGCTGTCAACTGAGTGGCCAAAAAATCGGATTACCTTTGAACGCAGCGGCGCCAAGCCGCCCAGCTCACGGAACAGCGGCCTGGGATTAGCGACCGGGGCTGCCAGCCGCCAGCGGGCCGGCCCCACTCGGCGCCCGCAGCGTGACCCGCCCCAGTCAGGCGCCGGGCCGCCGGCCGAACGGCTCGCCGTCCCGACGCGCTGATGTCAGAGTTCCTGGCTTTGATGGGCCGCCGCCGGGACGGCCGGACGGTCAGCTGACAGCCGGAGCCGAGTTACGGCCGCGGCCTGGGCGCCAGCGCCTGCCTACCGCCGGAAGCTGGGCCGCAGCGCCTGGTTACGGGCCATGTACACGGCGGCGTCGGGCCAAGTCCATCCGGACGGCGCCGGGCAGAACCGAGCGGCGCGAGCCCCGCCGCACGTCGGCGGCGCCCCAGTCCGAAGCGGCCGGGTGAGGTGGACAGGCCGGGTGACCCGCCCCCCCCCCCGAGCCAGCCCCGTCCCTCCTCGTTCCCGAGGCCCCACGAGAGCCTGCAATCGCAGAAACACACCGAGGAGCCGGCAATTAGCCACCGAACCGGCGAGACTCGGGCCCAAATCATATCAATCCAAACAGCGCCGGCCGCGCCGATGGATGGCTGCAGCGCTAACGAGCGGCGGGATCTGGCAGCTCGGCGGCGCATCTGGCAGCGGGCGCCGCCGGCGCCGGTCGAAGCGCGGCCGAGTTTACCGCCGCGGGAAACACGGACGGCAAACAGCGCTGTTTTAAGCGCGCGCGCCGCGCTGTTCTGACGCGTAAACGGAGCGCTGTTCTGGGTCGGCGCGCCGCCGGCGGGCGGATCCGGGTCGCGTGACGAGCGGCTGACGGCGGAGGTGCGAGCGGCGGGAGAGACACTCACGCCGGCGCTCGACCGCCGCCGCGCGGAAACCCGCACCGGGCCGAGGGGAGGGGCTGACGAGCAGACAGGTGTGGACGGGTTAACGGCCCGGCTGGCCGGCGGGCGGACGGCAGCGATCTGCTGCGAGTCGGATCTCGCTGGCGATGACGTGCCACGGCGCGCGAGAGCGGGCTGAGCCGCGCACTGCATGGCAGGCTGTGATCGTTGAGCAACTGGGCGGTGTTGTGACATACACGTGTTTTGCATCGACGGCCACTTGACATAATGGCAGACGTATGAGTGCAATGCCCGCCACTTTCCACTCAGCGGAACGAGCCGCTGCCAAAGCGCGCTGATGTGAAGTGAAATAAACGGGATGTCATCCATTGCGACGCTGTTGCGAGCGCCTGACAGGATGAGATGGGAATGCGATGACGTTTTATAAGCGTCGCTTTGAAGTACCCAATTGCGTCTCAAGGGGTGCCAGTAGTTGGACAGCGTAATTAGACTGTGATCTGTTGAACGTGTCTAATCTAAATATTAAAGTAACGCTCCAATCCAACGCAACGCCGGGAAATCGCCGCACGCGCACTCGCCGCTCAGTGGGTCTGTCGACACCGGCAGACGGGCTCAACGCCGCCTGACCGGCGGCCGCGGCGGCCGCAGGACCATCTCTGGGCGTGAGGCGCGGTATCATGCATTAAACATGGCGCCGCCCGCCCGCCTTTTGTCTCGATACCGCCAGCTTTCCGACGCAATGAATCGCAAATAATGACACAACGCGTATCGGCCGCTTCGACACGCCGTTGCGAAAACGCTCGCGTGGTGCCAGCGGAGACGCTGCCCGTCGTTTGCACAGTACGCCTTCCGACCGCCGCCAGCGCCTGCGGCCCGGTGGCGACGCCGCGCACCTGTGAGCAACGACCGCTAACGACCGCCGAGCGGCAAACTTCGCCAACGACCTCGGACGCGTCGCAAGTTTTGATCAGGCCAATCTCATCGAGATCGTGCCCGGCGCCGAGCGGCGCCACTCTGCCCAGGCCCTGACCCTACCCTCTCCCCCCCGCCCCTGCCGCTGCCCCTCTCCTGCCCCCCCCCCCTCCCCCTGCGCGAGGTCGCAGACGTGCCGCGTCGCGCTGCTGTCCGTGAGGGCGCCTGATCGCCCGCACCGGCGGCAGGTCAAGGCCTTCTTCACTCCCGCGCCAGCCGAGCGGCGCCTTATTTATTCATGCCACGCAGCACCGTCCCAGGTGGACGCCAATAGTCAGCGTCACTGGGAGCTGGGACCAGCACGCTGTCGTGCGAACTGCCGACCGGATGTCGGAGAGAAGGCCGCTGGGTTGGCTGATGGCACGAACGCGCCTCACTTCGCCTCTCGCTATGCAACTCCAGACAGTTCATTTTCACTCAGGAATAATAATCACAGCTAGATTTTCCGGAGATGGGGACAGGCTGCCCAGGGTTCCCCGTCCTGCCTCCTCTCCCCGCTTCCGCCGTTCCTGATTGACAGGACGTCGAGCGAGGAGCCCACACTCGTCCCGAGCGTGTTAATACGACGTCATCCGTGGCGTGGACGCGCCAGACCCCGCGGGCCGTTCCAGCTGACGACAACATAAACATGCACCCCACGCTGGGACCGGCGTCGGATATAGAGCCGGGTGATGGACACGCTGTGGCGGGTCAGCTGCCCCCCTCCCAGAGAGGGCGGAGGTCGTGGGCGGGGAGGGGGGGGGGGGGCGCTGGCTCCCACAGCAGGCCGGCGCGTACAGAGCGTTCATTTGCGGCGGCCGGTCTGCAGAGTATCGGCCGCCGGCCTGGCCGGGTTCATCCGCAGTGATTGCCGATAAACAGAGCCCACGGGGCGAGGCGGGGAGAAGGGGGGTCAGCGTCTGGCCCGGATCACGTCATGACGGCGCAGATCACGACAGGAGGATGCCAGCAGCACCGACCGCCCGCTGCCAACGAGCAACGCCGCGCCGAGCCCACATATACTCTGTGAAAATCCCACTCCAGGTGCAGAACGGTCCACCATGATCCACATGATAGCAATGATCCACATGATAGTAAGTGAGAGGTGAGGCAGACGGCGTGAAAGCGATCGCCATTCACCGATCTGCGCTCCGGACTGAACACGCTGACCACTGCTGGGACGAGCACCGGGCTCATCTGATCATCTCCACGGGCGGGGCGTGCACGACGGCGGGTTATCGCCGGTGGGGTGACGCTGCTGTCTTGCTAAGCAGGTGAGACTCGACGGACGGAGCCGGCGGCCGCACGTCTGAGCGCGCTCCAGCTCTGTCAGCCGCACAGGCCGCGACGGACGGAGCCGGCGGCCGCACGTCTGGGCGCGCTCCAGCTCTGTCAGCTGTGCAGGCCGCGACGGGCGGAGCCGGCGGCCGCACGTCTGAGCGCGCTCCGGCTCTGCCAGCTGTGCAGGCCGCGACGGACGGAGCCGGCGGCCGCACGTCTGAGCGTGCTCCAGCTCTGTCAGACGTACAGGCCGCGACAGACAGGCCGCGACGGACGGAGCCGGCGGCCGCACATCTGAGCGCGCTCCAGCTCTGTCGGCCGTGCAGGCCGCGACGGACGGAGCCGGCGGCCGCATGTCTGAGCGCGCTCCAGCTCTGTCAGCTGTGCAGGCCGCGACGGACGGAGCCGGCGGCGCACGTCTGAGCGCGCTCCAGCTCTGTCAGTCGTGCAGGCCGCGACGGACGGAGCCGGCGGCGCACGTCTGAGCGCGCTCCAGCTCTGTCAGCTGTGCAGGCCGCGACAGACGGAGCCGGCGGCCGCACGTCTGAGCGCGCTCCAGCTCTGTCAGCTGTGCAGGCCGCGCTTT